ATGGATGATGGATGGATGGATGATGGAAGGATGACATAAATGGATGGATAGATGGATGATGGATAGAAGGATGGATGGATGGATGGATGATGGATAGATGGATGACTGGATGGATGGATGGGTGGATGATGGATAGAAGGATGGATGATGGATGGATGGATGGATGATGGATAGATGGATGATTGGATGGATGGACAGATGAATGGGTGGATGGAGGGAGAAACAAATAGATGGATGAGTGGAAGGATGGATGATGGATGAATGGATGGTGGGTGGGTGGGTGGATGGGTGGATGGATGGATGGATGGGTGGATGGATGGATGGGTGGATGGATGGGTGGATGGATGACGGATAGATGGATGACTGGATGGATGGACGATGGGTGGATGGATGGTGGGTGGATGGATGGTGGGTGGGTGGATGGATGGATGGTGGGATTTATGCTGCTGAGACCCAAGCCTGCATTTTTGGTCCTGCTTCCTCAAGCTCTGCCCTGCCCCATCCACAGGAGCAGTAATGGGGATTTTCTAACAAGCCTACAGGCTTTTTCCTCTCTCTCCAAACTTCCTCAAAGGGAAACGGGCACCTCAAGATAGAGCACGTTTGGGGCCTCCTGAAGCTGCAGGTTCACAGCTTTTGTGTACCTAACATTTTTATATGAAGTTACGCATTTAGAAACAATGTGCTCAGCCTCTGGTGGAGAAAAAGTATTGTAATTGCTCACGCCTGCTGAGCACGTCACCCTCATGCACAGCTGGTGCCCATCACCGCACACACTGAGGGAACACCTACTACGTGTCATGGAGCTTACAGTCCACCAGGGAGGACAACCGGTGAGTGATGACAATAACCCAGATGCGTGTACGACAGAATTAAGCTCAGGGCCCAGGGTGGGCGGTCAGGGAAGGCTTCCTGGAGGAAGTGCCATTCAAGCTGAGACCTAAAGGGAGCGTGAGCACCTCCAGCCCAGCTCAGGGCTGGCTCGCTCAGCATTGGTACATGGGGAAGGGTCCTGGCCCTGCAGGGGCTCAGAGGATGAGGAGAGGGGGCAATACTGCCCCGGATGGGCTCAGCCTGCACAGCAGGGGTGAGCTCTGAGGCACCTTGGACCTTCTTGGCCCTTTGCCCAGAGCCAGCTCAAGGCACCGTTTCTCCCTGACGCTGGCCCACATGGGCTCAGACTGGAGAACCCCGCGGGGTCAGTCCTGAGGTGACTCTCGGAGCCCGGCAATCAGGACGTCCGCAGCCCTGACTTCTCTTTCCCTGACTCCACATAGGGACCTGCGGGCGCCAGGCGGGCGGGAGGCTGGGGGTGCCCAGCGGCTCTGCCCCTGGAGCTGGATGAGGGCGGCCACATGCTGCACTCACCCGAGACTGCTGGTGTAGGTCTGGCCCAGGACACAGTCGTCAGGCGGGGCCAGAGGGTTAAACCAGAAGTTGGCAAAGCACTTGTTGGCGTCAGATTCTGAGGAGGGAGAGCGCTCGAATCCGTAGTCGCTGGGGGAGGAAGAGCAGTGAGGAGCCAGGCACGGCGGGGATGGAGGCAGCCTGGGGTGGGGCCTCACGTTGAGGGCCGACTATGCACCCATCTGTGGGGACACACTGGAGAATCCACACGGTCCTGTCCCAGAGCCAAGACAGGCCTGAAAGCCGACAGTTACGTTCCAGGTGAGAAGAGATGCAAAGGGGATTCTGGGAACTCACAGGAGGCCCAGCCTGGGTGTCCTGGAGGGCTGCCTGGAGGAGGTGAGCTGAATCTCAAAGGATGAGCAGGGGACAGCCAGAGGAAGAGAGGAGAGGAGCACTACAGGCAGGGCCAGCCCCATCAACGCTGGTGCAGGGAGACACAGGTGGAGGGGGCTGGCATGTGAGGGGCAGGACGGCGAGGGGTGAGGATGCATGGGGCAGGCGGGCAGGCCAGGTTCTGGAACCCGAACATTCTCCGTGGGCAGTGGGAACCATGGGAGTTCTGAGCAGGGCAGGGAGTGGTCGGGGGGCTCTCAGCAGAGTTCCTGGACCGGCCGGCACCCATGTGCCCCCGAGATGCCCTCACCCATTCCTAGTTTCTCCTCCCTCCTGAGCAGGCCACCCGGGGGGGTTTTAACAACCCGCCCCTGAATTCTTTTATGCCTCCCTCGGGGCGGGCTGGACTTCGTGACTCGGTGCTAATGCACAGAAGGAGGTGGAAGTGGGGCGTGTGGCTCCGAGACCAGGTCACAGACGGCGTGGCGGCCTCCCCTGCCCCACCCCGTGCACTGCGCGGGGCAGCCCCGCCAGGCTCTGAGGGCACCCAGCAGCCCCGGGGGGCGGGCGAGGCAGAGCCCTCACCAGAGGAAGTCCGAGTCCCGGCACTGGCACACGCGGGCCGTGAGCGCCGACGTGAAGCTCCTCCCCTTGACGCACCAGGATGAGGCCTTCCTCTTCCTGAAGCTTCTCTGCTGGCCCATGATGCAGCGGTCGCCCTGCAGCGGGAGGGTCGGGGTGAGGAGCTGGCCCGGAGGGGCTGACGCTCTACATCAGCTTGTCCCGCTGATCTTGCTGGTCCCCAAAGACGGCTGAGCCCTCAACCCCCAGCAGCCGTGGGGACAGGGGTTTGCCCCCTTTTACAGATGGGGAAACCGAGGCCCAGAAGGGGAAGCGGCGTGCCTGAGGTCAAGCTGGGGCAGCCTCCCTCCCAGCCCTGTCCACAAGCATTCACTGAGCACCCGCTGTGTACAAGCTCCCTCGGGGCCTGGGGGTCACAGCGCTGCTGCAAACGAGCCCCCCTTTCGATTCCTCGGGCCCCAGGGTGCCAGGCCCTGTGCAGGAGCCACGGCCTCGAGGGCTCATGTGGACACACAGTAGGTCCTCAGTGGATGATCAGAACAGGCGCTGCTCCCCAAAATAGGTGCCGTGGCAGTAACAGGTGCGGGGTCCCCCCAGCAGTTCCAGAGCCCCACCTCCTGAAATCCCGACCTCCCCCACCACACCGCGGCAGCACAGCGACCTGAACTCGGGTGGAGGCCATCTAGTCCTCGTCTGTGCCCCTTGGTGTGACTATTACACAGCTGTAGAAGCAGCTATATGTGTTTGAGATGATGGGTGGGGGCTGCCTGACCCCGCTGGGGTGTTATGTAATACACGACACACACTCCGTGCCGCCTTCCTGTGATCTGAAAGATCCTGGGCCCCAAGCGCACAGGACTCCACAGATGGGTGGGGCCTGTGGACGGCCCCCCGGGCCTGACCGGAGACCCAGCCCCGAGCGGCCCCAGGCGCCAGGAAGGGGCCAGAACACCCCGCAGAAGGATCAGATACCTCGCGGCGGTCGGGGTCCTGGGGAGGCCTCTTGGAGGAGGAGAGGCCCGCAGCCTCGCAGCATGGGGACTCTGGCAGGCAGGGACCTGCCCGCCCACCTGCGCCCGCCCACGTGCACCCGCCCACCTGCAGGTTGGTGAGGTCCCAGGAGCTGTAGTCGTCCTCCCCACACGGCCTGGAGAACGAGGGCCGGAAGTCCACCTTGACCAGTTCCCAGTCGGAGCGGAAGCTGATGTGGCCGAAGATGCTGGGGGAGAGGAGGGACGGGAGGAAACCACTTTATTTGAGCCCCATCCCCGCGGTGCCAACTGCTTCCCCTCTGCCTCAGTTCCCACCTGTGCAGTGGGCCTGGCAATACCTCTCCTCCCTCCCACGACGTGCGGGGAGCTCCGCGTGTGCTGTCTGGTCTAAACCTCATTACAGCTCCGTGAGATGCGTCTACCCCCATTTTATAGAAAGGAAAACCGAGGCACAGAGAGGTTCAGTAACTTGCCCAAGGTCACACAGCTTATTTGTGCCATTTCTTCTCCATCAGTGGTTGTTTGCTGAGTGTCTACCATGTGCCCAGATTCCTCCCTCTCTGAGAGGGCTACTGCTTAAAGGGTTTTCACCTGATCCTCCCCACACCTCACACTTGGGCTCCAAACACCACCGCAGAAGAGAGACCCAGCCTGGACTTCCTTGGCCCTTCTCCAGTCTAGCCTACAGCACTCAGGCCATATTACCAGAGGTCAAGCATCTGGATAGGGGAGGTGATGTGCCCTGCTCTGGTCTTGGTCTTCTTCCAAGCACAACGACAGGGGCTGGATACTGCAGGAGGCCAGTCATGATCTGAAAGGGTGCAAACCCCATTCTAGGATAGTAGTTGAGAAAGGTCTTGGAGTGTTTTCCTGGGGACATGATAGCTGGCTCTGAATGTCTGACGCTGATATTTGAAGAGGAGTTTTGGCTCCACAGGGCACCTCTGAGCCAGGCAGGCCTGACTCGATACCCGTTTACTATGTCTGTGACCTTGGGCAGGTACATTCCCTCTCTGTGCCTCAGTTTCCCTGGCTTCAAAATGGGGACAATAACACTGGCCTTTCAGGATCGATGGTGGATTAGTGATGGTTTGCGTAGGATGCCGGCACATAGTAGGAGCTTCACACACAGGTGCACAAGCACACACTCACATGTGCACATACACTCACACTCGTGTGTACACACGCTCACGCGTGCCCACACACATTATCTCTACCCCCCACAACAGTTCCACAAAGTAGACACTATTGTCTGTGTCCTACAGGGAAGATCCCGAGCCTCCGCAGGCTGCCCGGGGCCGCCTCTGGTCCTCGCCTCCCTCTGTCTCGCCTTGACCTTCTTCTGTGGTCGGTGCCCTGTCCCCCGCCCGGGCTGTGAGGGGGCGCAGCCGGCCGATCGCTCTCCACGTCCCCGCCCTCCTTCCTCCCCGTCCGCCCACAGCCCTCAGTGGCTGGGGACACCACACGGTCCCCTCCCAGCCGTGGCCTCCCGTGTTCCGTCGCCCACAGTCCCGCTCTGCTTCTCTCCTCTGGGTGTGCGAGGCGTGGAGCGGGTGGGAGGGGCCGCGGTGCTGGCCGGGGACCCTCCTGCGGCTGGAGGACGCGGCCCCCCAAGGGCGGAACCCTGCCCGCGGCCCCGCTTCCGCTCCGCCTCTTCCAGCTGCTCCTGAGCCGCGGTTTCCCACGCAGGGGTCATGGGAGGCCTGCACGGTGGCGAACACGGCCGTGGTGTGCTGCCTGCACCTGTCCTGATTCCATCCTTAAGTCAACAGCCCTCTGGCTGGAAAGTGTCACACGTGGGGGACTTCCTTTGCCACACCGTCTCCCTTCTTCAGACAAAGCCTGCTGGGTTGGTCACTTCGAGTGCGAGGGTCTTATCTCACCCAAGGGACACTCTCTGAGGGAGAACCTCGGGTCCCGGCCCGTGTCCTGGCACAGCGTGAGTCGGGCTCTGGCCTCCTGAAAACCACGTCGCTGTGACGGTAACAGCGGCACGGCCGCTGTCGCGTACCCCGCGCCTGCCGCATCTCTCCTTCCCTCCTCCCCAGGCCCGCGAGGTGTGCTGCCACCACTCCCAGCTTCCAGACGGGAACCCGAGGCCGGGGACCCACCAACGGCACGGCCACGGCCCACTTCCCGGAGGAGCCGGGCCCGGGCCCGGGGCAGGTGACTCCGGGGCTGTGAGGCTCCGCCGGGAACTGCGGTCAGCCCCGGCCTGAGCGGGACAGCAAGGCAGCCCCCCCGCCCCCAGGAAGTCTCAGCTCCCCGTGGTCCCAGCCTGAGCAAGAAAGCCTGCTTTGGCTGATCTAATTAATCCCCTCCACATCTCTGAAGTCCTGCCTTTTATGAAACCCAGAACCTCAGCTGTTGTCTGGGTAATTATGAGTTTTAGGAAGGAGATGCCAAAGGGAGCCTATTTATTGCTTCACAGTTAATAAGGAGAAAAGGGGCCGGAGGTGCAGGTTGGGTGAGGAATCCACTGCCCTTTAAACAGCTCACTCCCCTTGCCCAGCTGGGGGTCCGGGGGCCCTCACCCCTCTAAGGCCGCCCTGGTGGGGACAGGAGGGCCGGCAAAGGTGAGCCGTGCTGAGGGAAACGTCCCGAAAGGCGACTATGGTCAGCTTGGGCGTGACCTTGGGGCAGATTTGGATAAAGAAACGATGTGGAAAATGCTCTCAACTGTTCAGGAAACAGGAGAGGGGCTGAGGGGACACACAGAGCACAGAGAGAGACGGAGAGACAGAGACAGAGAGACAGAGAAAGAGTGGAGAGGGAGAAAGACAGGGAGAGAGTGGAGAGAGAGACAGAGAGAGGGAGGGAGAGAGACAGAAAAAGGGAGAGAGAAGGAGAGGGGGAGAGAGAGAGAAACGGAGGGAAGGAGGGGAGGCAGAGAAGACTCTGGGTCTGAGTGAGAGCACTTCCAACAGTCCCACAGTCCGGAGAGATGAACTTTTTGTTCTAATATGTGGGCATGTTCCCTCTTTCACAGTCTGAATTATTTCTGTGTCAACGGGAGTTTGAAGGGTGTTTGGAGCAGCGGCACTGTGAAATAGGAGGTCTGTGGGAACCGTTCGGATGCTTTTTAGAAGAACTTAAAAGGTTATAGCCCTGGCTATGAACTCTGCCATTAGCGTTCCGGGGATAAAATGCCCCGCCTGTCCGTGGGAGATGAAAACTGGGCTGTTTCTGGGGCCAAACATCACCCTGATGTGGTGACACACGGGACGAAGGGCTGGTGTCCTGAAGCAACTAGTTCAATGCCCTGGGGTAGAGAGCACTCCCATTTCTGGGCTGGGGAAGCTGCGGCCTTGAGACCCAGCTGACCTGCTCAACCTCTGTGCAGCCAGCAAGGGCCAGAGACCACCCCTGGCATTTCTGACTCTCCCTTTCCCCTCTGTGGACTCTGACCTTGGAAAACTGCTCACCACGCGGAGGGTCCAGGCCGAGCCTGCCTGCCCCACCCCCAACAGAGAGAGCCCTGCCTGGGACCCCAGCTGCAGCCTTCCTTCTCCCCCCTCCCCAGACTCGCCGGCACAACCCGCCGTGGTCCCCAGGAGGAACCATTGCCGTCCTGTCCAGACCCGAGCCCCCACCAGCACGAAAGGAGCGTGAACACAGAAAGTCGTGGATGACGCACATGCCCCGGGCCAGGGCCAGCAGGAGGGAGGCGTCTAGGGAGAGCCGCAAGCAGGACGTTTAGAGAGTCAGAAGGGCTCGGGGTCCTCACCGGGGACATAGGACAGCCTCACGGGGCCTCGCCCATCTCTGGCTCTGCGGGAGCCGAGCAGAGCTGATCCCAGAGGGACCCCCTTCCCACCACTTCCTCGGTGCAGAACCGTTTGAGAGATTTCAGCACCTCTAAAAGCCAGGAAAATAAACTTTTCCGTGGAGATTATTTCCTATGAGAACAAAATGAGATAATCTAGAAAAACGGACCCATAACATGCAGTAGGGGCTCAGTAAAGCTCCATTACGGCCCCCGGCGCAAGAGGCCGTGTTGGTAAAGGTATGGGGGGCCCCGCGGGGAGGGGTCACTAAAGCTGCATTTAAATCTGGCGGGAATTCAGACCGCTGCCCACTCTTCTCGTCTCAAACGCGCTGACGAAGGGGTCCACGCTCACTGGTTCCATGTCCTTCTGCCCCCTTCCGTCTGTGGCTCCCAGAAGCCTGGGTGGTGGGCTCAAAAGCGGCAGTGGTCAGCGGCGTGGACCTTCCAGGGCTGTGCTCTGGCTCCCAGCCAGAGGAGAGCAGGGGCCGCATCCACACAGCCTCCCCCACAGATGAAGGGGACGCCCTGGACCTGCAGAAGCTCCGGGCTCGGGGCCCAACCCCCGCCCAGGGCAGAGGCAGGGGGCGGGGCGGGCAGTATCGTCCGTGCAGGCGGTTTTTTCCGATTTAGGCCTGCTTCCCGCAGCACAACTGTGCGAGGGCCCCAGGACGGGGCCTCCTGAGGGGGATGGGGCACACAGATCACGGGGCTGGGGGCCAGGCGCCCTTGGGGGCTTATCTGCGTGGGCCTCCTTGGGGAATTCAGCAGTGGGAGCACCTGGCCCTCCCGGCCGATGGGAGAGCCGGACAGCGCCTCAGGCGTGAAGGCCCCAAGTGAGCCAGAAGTGCAAACATGAGTGTGCACCAGGCCCTTCCTGCGGAGCCGTGCCAGGGAGCCCCTCCTGGATGGGAAATCCCAGCTGCCCGGGGCACACGGCCGCTCCCAGCTGAGCGCGCAGGGTGAGGGGTCGCACGGCACGGCCGCTCCGCTGGGAGCAGGCAGAGCAGGGTTGTCCACTCCGGGAGGGACCGAGCCAGAGCAGGCGGACTGTCCACACTCTGACGGGGGAAGGTGTTGGCTTCTTCTTGACCACAGCTCGTCCTTGGGCCTGTGTCCCGTCAGTCCAGCCCCCGTTCAAAGGTCAGCTGCTCCAAGGCGCCTTTGATCACTGCCTGACCCCGATGGCGGCCTTTACCCCCCGCCACTGGCTCACCCTGTCACAGCAGCATCTGTCACGTTAGTGAGGAATTGGTATTTGATCTGTCTGCCCACTCCACTGCCGGCTCTGGGTCACCTGGGGGTCCTTGGTGCCCAGGACGGTGGGCGGCACGTTGCTGCCCATGCAGGAATGACCAGGGAGGGCCAGCCTCCTTCCGCTGTGGTGTGGTGCCGGGTGGCCTTGGTCAGCGGGAGGAGGCGCGTCTCGCTTCCGCCCTGACCGCCGGTCCCCGGCCGCGCCCTCAGGAAGCTTCCTCAAAGTTCGCTGGGGAGAAAGAGAGGAAGCAGCTTGGGAGGCCGATGCGGAGACCCAGGGGTCAAAGTGCCGGCGTCCACTCCCGGCGTCCAGGGCCCTGCCCCCGAGCGGAGCGGGCGCGCAGGGGAGCGCTGTGGGTGCTGTAGCGTGGCCTGGGGCTGCCGCCACAAAATGCCACAACTGAGGCCTTCAACCAACAGCAGCATACTCCCCCCGACCCCGGTTCCGGAGGCCAGAAGTCTGAGATTAAGGTGTCACAGGGCCGGGCTCCCTCCGGAGGCTCTGAGGGAGGCTCCTTCCTACCTCTCCCAGCTCCTGGGGGCCCCAGGTGTCCCTGGGCTGTGGCTGCATCGCCCAGTCTCTGTGTCTTCACGTGGCCTCTCCCTGCATGTCCGTGCGTCTCCGTGTCCTCTCCTCTTCCGTGAGGACAGCGGCCATTGGACTAGGCCCAGACTGATCCCGTATGCCCTCGCAGCAACTTGATGACATCTGCAAGACCCTATTTCCAAACAAGGTCACATCCACAGGTTCTGGGTGGCCGTGAATTTTGGGGGACACTGTTCTCCCCAGAACAGGCATCATCAATGAAAGGCAAGAAGAGGGCACGGGCCCCCGCCCGGCCGCACCAGGTGTGGCGGGCATGTGCGGCATCAGCAGAGCTGTGGCCATGCAGCATCCCAGGCCCCACGCACGGCGTGACTCAGCTCTGCCGGAACAAGTCCCTGCGATTCGAGGGCCCCAGAAGCAGCTCCCACGGGTGGGCCCGCCTTCCTCGGTCTGTGAGCGCCTTCCTGCCCGGCACGGCCGGGGCAGGTCAAGCCCTTGTGCTCTTTTTCAATCCTCCCTGCCTGCCACTCCCCCCCCCGCCTCCTGCTCCTGGGCTACAGCGGCTTTGAACGGGGGCCCCTGATGCCCCTTGCCCCCGTCCCGGTGCCTCGTGCAGCGTCTGGTCTACAGTGGGGCTTGGCATGGCTGGGGGTTGGAAAAAGGTTGGCGACTCAGGGCCGCGAGCTGCAGCCTCAGACCCCAGCCTGACCCGGGCCAGGGTCCCAGGGCTGGACTCACAGCCTGGCTCCGCCTGCGCTGGCCTGTGTGGGTCTCAAGTCCTCACTGTGCAATGTGCCTAGGCGTCCTTTACAGGTGCCAATAGCAAACAACAACAACAACAATAATAGTAACAATCAACTCGCGAGGGGGACTGGGCAGCGGTCCAGAGCTCACTCTTGACTCTCGGTTCTACCCCTCACAGCCCGGCGATCTGGGCAGGTGACGGGCATCCCTGAACAGGGACAGAGTGGCCACCGCCCAGTGGCTGGGGGTGAGAGGAAACAGTGGACCATAAGAGACCAGGAGGCAGGTGAAGATGGGGGCGAGAGCGAGGAGGATTCGGAGGGAGGTAGGGGTCAGCGTCGAGCCCGCCCAGGGCAGCAAGGCCCAGGGCGACCCTCCGCCACGGCCCGCCCGCCCCCTCCCGCGGGCACTCACGTCATGACCAGCGTCTCGTCCCCCGGCTCACTCAGCAGCCCGTCCACAAACACCGAGGTGCTGGTGAAGTTGTGTGTGCTCCAGGTGAGGCCCTCGTCCACGCTGAACCTGCCCAGAGAAGGGGTGTCACCATGCGCAGGGCGGGCGAGGGCACTCCCCATGTCCAGGGCTGTCCGCTCCCCTGGATCCAGCCTGGCTCGTGCCCAGGGACCAGCACTGTCCAGCTGAGGCGGCTGGGAGAACGGGGGGTGGGCAGTGGCCATCCCTGGGGCCAGCCCAGCATCTGGGCCACAGCTGGATCCTGACCTCACTCTCCCCTGGGAGGCCACACTGGCTGCCCACCAGCACCAAGTGGTGTCCACATCGCTTAGCTACACCGCAGCCAAGGAGTCCTGGGTGTGCTGTCTGGGTATCACAGAGATGTTTTGTGCCCCCTGAGTGCAGTTATCTGGGCCTTGGAAACATCCAGTTCAGCCCCACCCGATGCCTGAGCCCGGCCCGGGCGTTGCTGGCCTGGCGACAGCAGCTCACAGCCTCCCATTGCAGCGTATTGCAGTGCTGCCACCTCGAAGAACAGAAAGCTCTTTTTCAGACTAAAGTGATACTGGCTTCCTGGCAGCTCCCCCAGCTCTGCCTTCTGGGTCCAGAGTACATACCTGTCCTCACCTCCCCACCATGGCCCTTTAGATGTCTGAAGCTGCTGCCAAACCCGCTCTCCCCTGGGCACAGGCTGTTGGCTTCCTTGTCTGGCCCCACGTCCTCCACTGAACTAATTCCTGTTGATGCTGAAAAGCCACCTCCTCTGGGAAGCCCTCCATGCTCCTCCAGACTGAAGTCTCTAGTTCACCCCGACCACGCCGCGTTGCCATTCCCTGTTCCCTTGTCTCCCCACGCCTGGCCCTGAGCAGCTGCTGGGGGAGGCTTTTCCGGGCTCACTGCCACCCCCAGTTGGTGGGGCTTAGGGCCGTTGTCCTGGGGCCCAAGGGGAGGCCGTTCTGGGAATATCCTGAGGGGCTCTCAGGTGGAGAGAAAGAGGTGCCCAGTCCGCCCTGCACCCCAGCGCAGGGCCCAACGTTACTTGAGGATCTTCAAGGGGATGGAGGTGTCCTTGATGGCCACGATCACGCCCCCGTGGTCCAGGTAGAGGATGTGGTGCTCCTCCTCGAACACCTGCGGAAGAGGCGGATGCGCTGAGGGCAGGACCCTGAGAAGCGCCGGAGGTCATTCAGGGTCGGGGTCACTCGCCAGGGGCAGGATTGTCAACACACAGGCTGGGGGGCGCCAGCAGAGGCCAGCTCCTCGAGGCAGGGCTGGTCCGAGGGCTCCGCGGCCCCCAGGCCATCACCACGCTCTCCCACCAGCACCCAGACTCAGCGCACGTGGGATGAGTGGATGACGGTGGCAATTTCAAGACCACTGAGAGAGAAAATTGCAAATAAGTGCTGCGGGCAATCCTCTTGACAGGAAAAACTCACACACCAGCAAGGCTGACAATGCAAGATGAGAAAGGAAGAAAGGAATTTAGGATATGCAGCATCAGTAAAAGCAAACCCCTATTTGACATTAAGACAGCTCAAGTGCCGGCTCCTCCAGGAAGCCCTCCTGGATGCCGGGCTGTGTGGGGAGCGCCTCTGGGCCCCCTGCCCCAGCACTTACTACACGAATTCGTTGTTGTGTCTTCCAGCCAGGGATCTCCTCAAAGGCTGGGCCTGCATCCGAGTCCTCTCTGTGGCCCAGCCCTGCTCAGCCCAGAGCTGGGGTGCCTGTGCTCAGGGAGTGTGTGTGGGATGAATGAATGAATGACTAAGTGAGTGAATGAATGAATGACCAGGGGACAAAAGATCAAGCGGCCTGGACAGGGCTCACACAGGAGGAGATAGCTCTGGGGTCTCACTTGTCTGCAAATAGCCCCCGGTCCCATTTCACAGGCAAGGAAGTTGAGGCTCAGAGAGTGGGGGGGTGAGCCAAGTGTGGCTCCTAAGTCATGCCAGGACACAGGGGCCTCCACTAGATCTTTCGGGAACACAAACATCCAGATGGCGAGCATGGTCTCTACCCGCCCAGAGAGGGGCACCGTCGTCCTCCACCACCTCGCCCCCGTCCTGCTCCTCTCCTCCTGAGAGCCTCCCCACAGCTGACCGCTCTGAGTCGGGAGTGGCCCAGCACCCCACTCACTCCCCACCCTGTCTGACCGTCTCAGGGCCCGTGGGCTCTGCGGCAGGGGCACGGGGAAGCCCAGGAGGAAAGGGCAAAGAGCCAGGACCCGCCCGCCAGCCCCCCGTCAGGGCCTGCACGCTTATGCACCTCGGCCTGCCCCGAGTCTCAAGCACCTTTGCACAGGGGCCTCCCGCGGGCGGCGAGGACTGTGGGCGTGTCTACCAGCGCGGCTCTCGGCGGCTCCGGGAGGCCTCTCCTGGGCCGGGAGGGCAGCTGCTGCTGACCCAGCAGGGACGCGGCCTGGCCAGTGCTGAGCCAGGCGGGAGGGAGTGGGGTGCCGCTGGCTCCCTCCCAGCAGGTGTTGACCCAAATAAGCGGCACCTGCACCCGCCCTGCACCTGCCCTGCACCTGCACCTGCCCCACACCCGCACCCGCCCTGCACCTGCCCTGCACCTGCACCTGCCCCACACCTGCCCCACACCTGCACCTGCACCTGCCCTGCACCTGCTCTGAGAACGAGCCGGAAGGCTCCCGGCTCCTGGGGTCTGTTCTAGGACAAAGAACGGGAACGAGGACATCGTATAAAAAACTATCAGCAGTGTCTTCTCGCTGCTGTCCCATCTTGAGCCTTGTCTCAATGTTGGATTTTCCAGGAGGAGGCAGCAGGAGGCACCCAGGGAGGACACAGAGCAAAGCCCCACATCTTAGGAATGTAAGACTTCAGCAGAGCTTCAGGGTTCCTCTAGGCCAAGCCCTCAGACCTAACATTCCATCATCCCCACACCCCTCAACCCCACCAGGACCTTCTAGTGGCCTCCCGGGGCCCTTAGATCCACGTCCAGGTCCAAGTCCAAACCCTTCAGTGGCCTTTGGGGCCCTGCTCACCTGTCTCCCACCCTCCATACACCAGCAACTGGCCTCCTCTCCTGGAACATGCCTCAGGCCCCTTGCACATGCTGTCCCCTGCCTGCAAAGCTCTTCCCTAGATATTTCCACCTTCTCAGCCTTGCTGGCATTTCCCACTACTCTTAGGAATTCTCTAGGAAACACTTCTGCCTTGAATAAAGAAGAGAAGCCCCTGAGGAAAAATGGTGGAAAGTTAGCAGATGAGTCCCAGAGCCCATCCCCCCTTCCTTCCTCCCTCCTCCCTTCCCTCCTCCTCCCTCCCTCCTTCTCTTCCCCTCCCTCCTTCCCTCCCTTGATGTTTAGAGCAGAGGCTGTCAGGTTGGGGAAAATGACGCAGAGAAGGGGAACTGATGGACTGACTGCGGCTGAGCCCCTCCCTGCTGGGTGCCAGCTGCCGCCCATCAGGGGCCCCCAGGACCCTGGCAGGGGCCTTGCGCGAGCCAGGTGCGCCAGGCGGGCGCTGCCTCAAAGTGCTCTGCTGAAATGGGGCAGCTTTTCCAGGAGAAACCGGAAAGGGATGTGGGTATCTGTGAACCACTGAACATGTCTGCAGGGGGTGGGGAGAAGGAGGGCTGGGCTGAGTGGCCCCCCGTGGCTTCTGCTGCTCCTACACAGTCTTGTTCAAGGTCAGCCACACTCGGAGGTTATTTCCCACGGAGAGACCAGAGGCTCGGAGAGACACTGGCTTGCCTGAGGCCAAGCAGCTGGTAACTGGCAGGGCCGGTACAGACCCCAGGTCTCTGACCCAACCCCTCGCCCCTTCCACCACGACTCTTGGTCCGTGGGCTCCGGTCCCCATGAGCAGGACACGCCCAGCAGGAGGAGGGGCTGCATCTCGTGAGTGATGAGGTGGCAGGCTGGAGTGGGGCTTGGAGCACTAACTCAGGTGCTCCCCAGATATACCCCTGTAGCACTTGCTCCCACTGGACTCCAGGGCCCTGTCTGCAGGGCACAGAGGAGTCAGTGTGCCTGGTGGCCTTTGTCCCAACCATTAGCTCAGGAAGATGCTTGGGACAAGAGTACATTAATAGAGATAGGGTTTCCTGGACAAGGGAGGTGACGGCCCGCAGATTTTAGGGTACTGTCCACCCACACAACAGGCCCAGTGTTCCAGGCCCCCTCTGTTCGGGTGCCGGGATCCAGAGGTAGAGATGAAAGTCCGGCCCCCGGAATCCATACCCCAGGGAGAGACCTCCAAGGAGGCCGACCACCTTCACACAGCCACTCAGACACCACCAGGGAGAGGCCCCTTTGTCTCTGCCCTCTCCGCCCAGTGCCCAGCCCAGGTTCTGCCACAGCACGAGGGTCCCAGCCAATGTTTTTGGGACAAATGATGTCAAGTCCCAACTAAACTCCAGACCTGAGGTAGTGGGCCCCCAGGGAAGGGGTCACGGTGCAATCAGCGCTTGGGCCAATCTCAGGAGGGGCCAGGGCATTACGGACGGGGGAACAGCGTGTGCAGAGCCCGGAGGTTAAAGAGAGCAGTGTGCCCTGGGGGCCTGAAACGCTTGCTGGAGCGCGGGCTGTGGGGCAGACGGAGACGGGCTGGGCGGCACGGGCACATGCGTCAGCCGAGGGGTCGGGACATCCTCCTGCGGATGACAGCGGGACACCGAGGTTTAGTCGGGGAGTGATGAGGACAGATTTCCCTTCTAGAAGCTTCGTTGGGTGCTGAGGGGAGAAAGACCAGAGGGGCAGAGACCCGTGGAGGCAAATGGACTCCAAAGCAGAAGGGCTTCTCTTCCGGGAAATAGTGAGCTCCCTGTCCTGGGGAGTAGTCAAGGAGAAGCTAGGGTCCCTCGCCCCGGGCCCCAGGCGGGGTGGCGGAGACCACGCTCGGGCCTGCGATGCTGTCGGAGGGGCACACGGCAGCAAACACGTGTGTCTGTCTCCACCGCGGGCGCCGGTTCATTGCCTTTGAACCTGCAGAGGCCTCTGCCGCGCGGTGGGGGCCCTCAGTCCCCGCCCCCTCGGGGACCAGGCCGCTGCCAGGTGGGGTGCTGAGAGCGTGCACAACCAGACACGGGCTCCTCCCTCCAGGACAAGCGGGTGACCTTCGCCACATTACCCACCGGGAGAGGGGGTGTCTCCCAGCCATCCGGGGGGACCCCACAGACACTAACGCTCTCTTTAGCGTCAGACTCTGGAAGAGGGGGCTCCGGGCTTTCTACCCCACAACGAGCTCGCAGGGTCCTTGAACGTCCATTGCTCTGCTTGTCTGTGCTTTGATCCCCCCCACCCCAGGCAGCAGGGCCGAGGGGCAGGCGGTCTCCGTCCTCATTTCTCCCTTTGCCTGCCCCCCACACGCTGAGCTCCGGCCGGAGGGGCTCCTTGAACGTTTCTGGCTACTGTTTTTATAATCATCCCAGGGAGCTCATGTTTTTAAAAGGTCACGTCAGTTAAACAGCAAACCCGCTGTTGCTCGTAATTCATACTCTGAGTTCTCCTCTCAGACTCATCACATCCTTGACGACCTGGCCCGAGCGCCCCAGGTCGTCTTCCCTTCTGCGCCTCCGTCCCACCCCGTCCTCTGGGCACCCTCTCTGCTTCCTCCTCCTCCTCTTCCTCTTCCCCCACCTCCAAAACCCAGCTTGAGCATCTCTCCCTGCCCTGACACGCACATGCGCGCACACACGGCTGCTCCTCATCTCCTCCCCCAGGCACCTGTACCCCCCCACTGCACCCCGTTTGGGAAGGGAACAAGCACCCCGAGACCAGGCCCCACTCCGCACCTGAGCACACATCCTGCCATAACGCTGACATTCCCAATCTGAAATCCAAGCAGACTGCTCGACAGAAGTGCCCTCTGTGACTATCTCACAATCCGTTTCTATAAAACCAGACCTCTGCTGGTTCAACTCAGACTATGTAATCTAATAAGGGGGGCGTTTCTCTGATAAATGGACAGACGGTAACCTTTAAGAAAGTTTGGACATATTTCACTAGTTTTAGTGAAACAGAAATATTATAACAATAAATCTCTTTTGCCCTTTTCAAAACTCCTTGCTTCTTGCATATTATTAAAAAATGTCAGGGCCTTAGACCCAGGCTGCCGGTGAGCTTCGTGTTTGGGATTAACGTATTTGTCCAGAGCATTAATTGGGAGGGGGCTGTAGGTGGGGTACTCAGGTGTGCATAAAATGATCCCAAAACAGAGCTGCCTACACTTATGGGAAGGAGAGATGCACACAAGAGTGTAGCGCACTTTCTTAAGCCTTTAAAGCAGAAGTTGTCACTCCATGAAGTTGGCAGACCAGGCAAGGCTCTTTTTTTCTTTTTTCTGGAAAGAAACAGTGAGTGTCGAAGGAGCTGGCCCTCTCCCGGGTGGAGCGCTTGGGCTGGGCTCCTGAGCTGGGCCGGCACAGGGAGCACGGGACCTGCCAGCCTCCGCTCCCTCCCCGCCCTGATTCCCTGTGTGGGTAGCTGGTCAGCAGCACGACCCCTCTGGCCTGAGAACGTGCGCTCCAGGGGCGCGCTGCACAGAGCCCGGCGTGGGGACCATTTCCTGCGTAACTGCTTTTCCGCTTCTTCCCCTTCCTTCTTTCCCCGCACCACACTGAACATCAGATCATCACCCTCCGATGTCTCCTGGACGCCCCAACCCAGACTCAGCCTGGCCCCCAACACCTGCCCCTCCCCCATGTTGTCTTTCTCTCCCACGTCTCTGCCGTCCAGCCAGCAGCCACCCCTGCCAGGACATGGGGGTCATCCGTGGCCCCCCACTTCTGGCCTCTGGGCTCCCGAGCTCAGCCCCAGCCTCTGAGTCCCCGGGGGGCTTCCTGCTGGGACAGCCCCTCCACCCCGTCCCTGGCAATTATTCCCCTTGCTTTGGCCTTCACGGTGACGTGTCAGTGTCCGACCGTGTGAAGATGCGTCAGATTGTACTTCTCCAGCAGTGGCCACCGAAAGAACACAGGGTGGTTTCGGCGAGCCCGGCCTGGCCCTGCTGTTCATGGATGGCGGGTATAAGGTCTGCTTACGGGAGCCGCGCGTCCAGCCCCTCAGGCTGGGGAAGACGAAGAGACACCTCAGCACTCTCTGGGAGGGGAGGGCACGACAGAGCAGACGCACCTCCCGGGAGTCTCGGGGGAAGGGGCGTGGGGTGGGCGCCGGGCCCCTCCCTGAGCCCTTACCTGCCGCCAGGTGTGCCCGCAGTCTGACGTGACGTACATCTCTTCTTTGTATTCCACCAGCTGTGAGCCCAGGTTACCTGGTGCAGAAGAAGAGGGGCAGGCTGCTCTCAGGATCAGCCAGCTTTCCCCTTCACCCCGCCTCGGGCCCCCCGGTCCGAGCCCAGACAAACCCCAGCAAGGGCTGGGTGTGCCCTGGGTCTACACCTCCCCTCCCAGAGACACACAGCAGCCTGCCCCTCTCTGCCTTCCTCCTATAAGGACGGGCCTGCTGTAACCGCCACGCCTGGGCCCTGGTCCCAGTCTGTGCAGGAAAGGATTAACCTCGTCCAAGGAAAGCCAGCCTCGGGCGGCTCCAGCTGAGGCCCAGGTGCAGCCAGAGCTCGGGGGCCTCGGGGGACTCACCCGTGAGGAGTGTGGTCAAGGACAAGAAGTGCGGAGTGGCGGTGAGGGACAGGTTAGAGAGGACGGGGGCCAGGTGGCAGCCCCGGACAGGCTTTAAATGGGGGCAGGACAGGGCTGGGTTTGCATTTGGTGACAGCTCCCTGAGGGCCGATGCAGGGGAGACCAGAGGCAGGTCTAGGGCGGGGGGCGGCCCAGGTGAGGGGCAGGGGAAGCACCGAGCGGGTGCTCACGAAACCTCTGCTGAGCGGATGTGTGGAGGACGGGGAGGCGGGCACCAAACCAGGAGGTTCCTCCTTGGTCAAGGTTCACTTGAGCCCCTACTGGGCTTTAATGGGTCATCAGTCCTGAAGGCCACTCTACAGGGCTCAGATTCAATCCTGGAGTGGGGCCAGAGTGGGAAGAGCCCCCACCCAGCGTCCAAGCCAACTCCAGCTCACTGATGAGGAAACCGAGCCCACCTGGGCTCCTACAGGAAGAACCATGGCCACCCAGAAGGACACAAGCTCCAGGAGGTCACAGAGGCCTCCGGAGCTGGGCCCTGCCTGCCCCAACCGCCTCCTGGGGAGGATCTTGAACAATGGGATTTTCCCATAAGCTGGATTTGGCAGGTTTCTGCTGTGCCCATGGTCATGGCAGGGACCAGGGGTCTGAGCCCCCAGGATGATGGGGACCTGTGATGAGGACACTGAAGCCATTCTTGACTCTGGCTTGGAGCCCCAGAGGCCTCTGCCCTGGGCGACCTGTGTATCACTTGCCATTTGAGGCCTTGTTCATGTGGCAGTCTCAGGAGTATCTTACCCAGAGTCAAGTTTAGACATCATTGGAAAATTCCAAAAGAGATGGCTTGTCCTCCAGCGGATGAGTCAAAGTGAATTCCAAGCAGTGTGTTTGTGTGCCTGCCTTCTTTTTTTGACCTCCAACTAACCACCAATCCATCCATCCATCCATCCATCCATCCATCCATCCATCCTTCATTATCTATCCATCCCTCCATTCATCCATCTTTCATTGGTTTATCTATCTACCCGTCTATCCATTATCCATCCATCCATCCATCCATCCATCTATCCTTCATTAGTTTATTATCTACCCACCCGTCCATTATCCATCCATCGATCCATCCACCCATCCACCCAGCCATCCTTTCATTCAACACATATCATGTGCCCACTCTAGGCCAAGCATTCACCCGTCAGAGTTTGCCATGAGAGCTGAGCTTCTTGGAGATGCCGTGCCACTGCCCCCAAATGGACACACCATGGCCCCAGGCCCATGGCCATCAAGTTTTATCCTTGAGAACGGAGCTTCTCTCCTGCAGTGATGACTCTTGCCATCTGCCTGTGATGGCAGCCTCCTACCTGCGCCCATGATGAGGCCCGGGGCGGTGTCCTTGGTGTGCACGGTGCCCGACACGTAGGGGTTGTCTGCCCAGCGCAGGTGCAGGTGGAGGTGGCAGTCCGGCTGCAAGGGGAGGAAGGGAGCCATGGTCAACACCTGGGGAAGAGCCGTGTCCCTAGGAAAGGTCGGACTGAGGTGGATCCACCCGTGTGGCTTTTCCAGGGGGAAGGCAGGGCCAGGAGCGCCTCGGAGGAGTGGATGGAGGCTGCGAAGGAGGCCGTGAGGCTGGCCTGGGGTGAAGGCCGTCAGCTCTGGGCCATGAGTGCGCACGGATGAAGCCAGTGGGAGGGTTCTCCCAGCATGGCTGCTGGCCCCCAACATGCAGCGGGCATTGCCACGTGCAGTGCTGGGCCGTGGGACGTGATTCCTGGGGCCGGCACAGCCCCTGCTCCCATTCCTTCATTCATTCATCCATCCAGAACCTCTACTGGGCTTCTTACAGGACCACAGTGGGCAGGCCTCAGGGAACAGCCGTGGGACACCCTGCGAGCCCTGCGCCATCCACGGGAGGCAGAGGGGTAGGCGGCTGTACTGGAACCCGGTTTACTCGCCAGCGTCAGTGAGCACGCTGACGGCAGCCTGGGTTGCTGCCCTGCCAGAGGGGCAGAAACGCGCGTTGCAATAATCGTTTCAGTGCAGCTCACGGTGACTCATGGCCGCCCCTGTGCCAGCGGTGAGTGAAGCCCTCTACAAGGTGCATTGTCACTGAGCGTTCTCAACATCCGTTCTATCACCCCCAGTTCACCAACGGGGAAACTGAGGCAGAGAGTATTTAAGCACTCAAGTGCAGTGGTGGGGCTAGGCTACGCCTAAGGCTGCCCTGATCCAATGTCTGTGCTCTGAGCCCCCAGGGTGTCTGTCCCTGCCGGGGACACACTTCCAGGCCAGACTGGGCCAGCAGCCTCCCAGGATGAGTAAGCACGAGCAGTTTCCTGTCTGGCCGCTTGGCAGGAACAGACCCCCTCACCTGTCTCCTCCTGGCCGCCTGCACCCCAGCTTACCCCTGAGTAGGACTAGGGGGTCCGGGGGGGACAGACGAGCTGAGAAGGCTGTGCCCTGTGGACTGCGGCCTCCCTGAGTCTCACCCAGGCCTCAGGGGCTCAAAGGCACTATCTTGCCTGCACTCCCTCTGTCACACCCGTGATAGAATACAAAACCACAGCACACTGGATGAGGTCCAAGGTCCCCGCACAGCTCCCTCAGGGGCGCCAGAGACTGCACTGGGCAGTGACCTGTCAGCCATCAGCCAGGGGCTGCCCGCACTGGCCGCAGGAGGGACGGGATCCAGAGACCCTGTTTCTTCCCTCCTCCCTCCTGAAGCCAGAGAGGCAGGTCTGAGGTCTGGCTGGCTGACCCACCTTGACAATCTAGGATTTCCTGCCTCTGCTGGACAGGAGAGCAGGAGGGCCACCAGAGATCCCACGACACCAACGGATGTCAAGGGGTTTTTGGGGTGACAACTCTGGGCTCAGTCTTTCTGGAGTCCCCAGTTTGGGGAATTCCACAAGCCAGGAGTGTGGGCAGGGTGGGATCATGGAAATGCAGGGCTTGGAATTCTTGTACTTCCCTCTTAATGCTGTATGACTCTGTGAAAACTGCTTAGCGTCTCTGAGTCTCAGTTTCTTTCTCTGTGAAATGGGCCAATAACCTCTGCTTCACAGGATTACTGGATTAACACAGCAAAGCTTCTGGAGAGAAAGTCAGGGTCCAGCCTCCCCTGAACAAGGTACTGCCTAATTGCTTACTTATAAGAAAAGTAATAATCTCCTTGGCCTTTTTTTTTTTTTCCTGGAAAACTCTCCAGTTTAGAAATACCATAGAACTGAACACCCAGAGATCCAAATTCGAACTTAGGAGGTGCCACTGATTTTACGGGAAACTTTGGGCCTCGGTTTCCTCATTTGTGAAATGGAGATGGGGTGCCCATCTCCCACACCTCACAGGAGTGTGGGGAGAAAAGTGGGGTCATTCCAGAACCCATTGTCATTACCATATTATAGCTTCTACTGAAACCTTTCTGGGAGATGTCTTTTCTCTTCATTTTATGTTTTTGTAGCCCTTTCTTCTGGTCCATGGACTGAGTATATTTTAGACAGCTTATCTGAAGCTAAAACTGAAAGTTAGTAAATTGGGTATTGATCTGGGTCAGACGGCACCAGGTGGCAGCCCCAGGGCCTGATCCACTTGGAGACGAGACTTACTCGTCTGTACCAGGGTTTTAAAAATGTATTAGTTGCATCACATGTTGTGTGATTCCATTCATACAGAATGTCCAGAGCAGGGAAATCTACAGAGACGGAAAGGGGATGAGTGGTTGCCAGGGGCTGGGGCGGGATGGGGAGATGGGGTGAGGGCTGAAGGGTGCGGGGGTTCTTTGTGAGGGGATGAAATGCTCTAAAACGGGCTGTAGTGATGCTTGCACAACTCTGTGAATATGTTACAAAACACTGAGTTGTACACTTTAAATGGGTGAATTCTATGGCACGTGAGTTATATCTCAGTAAAGCTGTAAAAACAACAAAAATAAAAGGTGGCAAAATCAGCGGCAGGTAGGCTCCACGCCCTCTGCAGAGGCACACTTCTGAAGTGGACGCGGAGGCTGGAGACCCTCCCCGGGGCAACCTGGGAGCCCTGTGCTGAAGAGAGCAGGGCCCCCAGGGGGGAGTCACCCCAGAGGAGAGACCCCGTCCAGGAACCTCCACTGAACCCCGTGGGATGATAAGACATTGCCCGTTCGGGATTTCTCCTGATTTCCTATGATTGAAAGCAAGTTGGTGAGTTAACATCTCTGGTGAGATGCCCACCTGGTGACCAGACACTAATGGGAGGGGGTCCTGGGGAGGGAGGGGCCCGTGCCCTCTGCGGGCAAGGCTGGCTTCCGGCTGCAGAAGGGACCTCTGAGTCAGGGGAAAGAGGAGCCTCCCCAGGAATGTGGCACTCGAGTCCCGTACTGGCATGCTCCTGAGCAGAGAGGGTGGGGGCACAGCCCTGCTTTGGAGCCCAGGTTTCCTGGTGGGCCAGCTGGGGCCTGGAACAGCCCGAGCTCCCAGGCTGTTCTCCTTGGGCTGCAACCAGCCTTTTCCGTGTCCTCTCTCGCACTGTGCACACAACGTCAGTGTCTATGTGTGCGGTGAGCACTGCGTCATGGAACCTGGCCTCCCCCGCCTCAGCCCGCTGGTGGTCTGTCCTGGGCGTGGGCACTTGTTTGGGCCAGAGGTGGAACACTCCTCAGGGTTCCCTGTGGTCAGTTGTGGCCCACAGGTCACCGGCAGATACAGGCAGAGCTGCGGCCCCCTTTGGCGCCGTGGAGGGCCTGCTGACAGCCACACAAGTGTCTTCCAGCCAGGCCCGGAGCTGCTGGGCAGGGCGTGCACTGCTGGTGTCTGACAGCTGAGAGGAGGCCTTAGAAACACCCTCCCAGCCAAGTCTGGGCCGAGTGGACAAAGGGCAGGGCAGGCTGGGCAGACCTGGAGGTGCCCACCCCAGGGCACCTGGGCTCTCTGCAGATGTGACAGGACAGCGAGCCAGGGCTGCCCTTGGGGTGTGCCATCAGAGATGGAGGGGTCCTCTGAGGCCACCCAGGGCCAGGGTGGGGAGACCCCAAGGGCAGGCTGGTGCCGAACGCCCCAGTCCTGCAGGAGGTGGGCTTGGGTCTCTGCAGGGCTTGGGGGGGTGAGGTGGACCAAGTGGGGGGCCCACGCTGCCCCAAGGCTCCCTCTTCTTGGCCCCTCTGCAAGCAGGAGCCGGCTGGTGCTCTAAAGAAATGTCTCCCAAATCATGAAAGACTGTTGGATGGTCAGAGGGCCACGCTGCCGGCCTGCAGAGCGAGGAGACCCGCCCACCTGGACACCCCACTTATTGCCTCAGCCCGAATCTGAGAAGAGTAACCGTGGGCTGCAAAACCAACAGGTATTCCTTCTGAATCAAGATGTAAACCGATTCAGAACCATCTTCCAAGTCCGATTTGTCATCCTAAAACAGATCTGGTCACACCTCTCATCTGTTTCCCCATTGCTGGAAGGAGGTCTCTGCAGGCGAGAGCCGGTCATATGGCCGGGAAAATATCCAGAGTTACCCAGAGTTATCCAGAGACCCAGAGTTACAAGAAAAATGGAAGACAGAGAAATCACACAGGTGTCAGGATCCCGATTACGACTTTAACGGGCATAGAAGCTAAAAGATTGTAAAGAAAAACACCTGGTTATTGTTATTTTGGGGTCATGTGATTACACGGGCACCGCATTTCCCTGTTCGTACATTTCTGTATTTTCCAAGTGTTCTACAAGAAGCAGGAATCACTCTTATGACGAGAAGTGAACCCTCAGGGCGGTTTGCCCCGTTCACTGAGAGGACGCGTGGTTGAGAGGAGGACGGTCAAAGAAGACAGTCATCGGCCAGTCTCGGCCCCCGCCTCCTCCCACTGTCCCCTCTCCATGCTGCTCAGTGCACACCTGGTAACCGCCCTCTGAGCCACGAGCCCTGGCTTTCGCTTCCTGTCCTCGTGCCCGGGCGGGTCTCCCGAGGGCTCGTTCTCTTTCCTTCGTGCTCACTGGGGTCTCCGCCCGCGCCCACTCCACCACTCTGCTCCTACTTTTGTTCTTTTAGGGCCGGGACATAAATCTCACAAAGGTTATCTCCTCACTGAGCTGTGTAATTGCAGACAAGAATCTATTCTTAGCAAAAACTTGCTTTGACAGATTAATATGGCTTAACTTTGCTGACGATGATACAAAAATTAGCTCTTTCACAGCGATTCTGTTTTCAGCAGGGTTTTTACCAGTGGCAGGTAATTAACTCTCCCTGGAGGTCGACAGGTGTTATTATCGTCCCTTGTCTCCCATAGGGGGGCTTGCAGAAGCCTCGCGGCAGCCCAAGTGGTGAGGGTCAGCTCAGCCGCGGGCTCACAGAGCAAGGGCCAGCTCTGCCCGGGCTGAGCTGCTGCCTTGAGGGCACAAAGTGGGTTTGGCCCTCAGGGTCAGTGGCTGGCACTTTCAGAGGTCTCACAGAGACGCAGGCAGGACCCCATGGGGGCAGGATTGTGTTCTGTGTTGTGTGCTGGTGTATTCTGAATACCCAGAACAGCGCCTCGCACATAGTAGGTGCTCGCACATGTTTGTTGAATGAATGTCCCTGTAAAATAGGCGCTGTTACCCTTTCTATTTACAGAGAGGCAGGGCGATGGATGGATTCAGGCATCCCCAGGAGGCAGGCCCTGCCTGTGACAGGCTTCATTCGAGGCCAGTGGGAAACAGATAGAGAAGCAAGTAAGCCCAATGAAGGCTTCTCAGTGGAGGGGACATCTGGGCTGGGTTTCCAGGTGTCAGTAGGAGTTTGCTGGCTAAAGAAGAAGGAAAGGGCATTCTAGGCTACTGGACATTGTGGGAAGGGGGGCAATCCAAAAAGGAAGGCTCTTCGTCGCTTGCTTTCTCTGTGCCAGGGCCTGTGCCGGGCATGTCTGTGGACTGTTTCATTTCCCCCTCAATGCCTCAGGGGATTTTCATCATCTCCCTTCCTTTTTCAAAGAAGCGTTGATTGACTCAGCCGAGATCGCAGGGTCGTTAGAACCGAGACTGCGGCCTCTTGCTCCCTCACAGCTGCTGCTCCCTGAGCACTCACCTCCAGCCAGGCCCCTAGACCTCTGTCCTTCCACCCTCAGCAGCTCCGGCCTGCAGGCCACCCAGATCTCCACGCAGATTTCCGGAGGGAAATCCAGCCCTCCCTGCCCCCGAGGCAGCCAAGGCACTGGGGCAGCCCACGCTTGTAGTCACGTCGAAAGGCACCCCTGGCAGAGCAGGACTGGTCTGGGGCTGTGGCCTGGCCCCCCCACATCCACAGGTAGAGTGCACGCCCCTTGATGCTGGCCAGGAGGAGAGCAGGCCTGCAATGTGCTTGCCTGTCTCTGCTCCACCTCCGTTATCGCCACGAGAACGTGCCTGGGCTGGCCCCAGGAGGAAGATCCCCTCCGACATCAGCCAACTCCCAGACGTGAGAGTGAGCCCAGCCAAGATGAGCAGAGCACCCAGCCGAGCCCAGCCACAGATCTGGAGCATAAGTGACTGCGCCTCAAGGTGATTTGTTACATAGCACTGTTGTGGCAAGAGCTGACCGATACACTTCCCTCTCTGACTCCAGTTAACTCTTGCGTAAAGCGAAGGGTTTCACGTGACCCTTTCCCTGGTGCCCAGAGAAATCGGAGGTTCATGTCCCTCAGATGGCCCTGCTCCGACGTCTGACCTCCCGGTTCCTGCAGTAATGTCTGCGCCTGCCCCACAGGAGTGTGTGACGTGAGGGGAGGCACTTACAGGCTTACAGTTGGTAGGTTTTCCGTTCATGTCCGTGCTGGGCGGCCTCAGGTGATCCCAGTCACGTCCCTTGTTGTAGGTTATAAGCGTCACCACCTTCCCATCGATTTTTTGGTTCGCCAAGAAGACGCCTTTCACCCCTCGGACCTGGGACAGAAATACAGACGGAGTGTAAAAACCTGCCGGGAGCCTCTAGTGGGCGAGTGTCCACTGTGGGCCCGCCCCTTCTGAGGGCTCTGTGCGCACGGCCCTGTTTCACCCGACAATGGCCCCGGAGCTGAGGCTGACCGCGTGCCCCTGGAGGCCAGCGGGGCGTAGGGGGCAAGGGACCCGAGACTCCGGCTTGAGCTTTGACTGGAAGCCGGTTCTGTCTGACCCCAAAGCCCGGGTGCTTTTCACGACACTGAGCTGCCCTCCCAGGTCCAGACTCCGGCTGTGGGGCAGTGAGCAGAGCCCTGGTCCCCACACGCCCGTGCGTCACGGTCACCCCATCTGCAGCCCAGAGCTCCTGATGCAGAGCCCTCTCCCCTCACCTCCCTCCCAGTGGACCCACAGGGCCTGGACCAGTGGACCGCTCTGGGCTTTCCTCGGGGGACTCCCTCAGCTCAACCCCACCCGAAGGGGTGCCAGGTAGCGAGGACAGGGGTCTGCGCTTACCCCAGCCTGCCCTGGCCAGAGGCTCAAGGGTTGCCCTGCCTCCTTTCTCAGGGTTTCCTGAGGGCCCACGGCAGGGACCCAAACACGGCCCACAGTCGGTTTCTAAGTTGGCTCACAAGAAGTGGTCAAATATCAGCAACGCCCTGTAATCCAAGCTCCTGTTTCCACAGAGATGTCCTTTTTCTGCAAGTTCCTTACTGCACAGGGGCCTCAGACCAGTTACTGAGACCCCCCAGGGTGGCGTGCGCTTCTCGGACCCTCCTGCATGCCCGAGGCTGTTCCTGCTCCTCTGTGTGCAGCGCGTCCCTATTTCTCACAATGAACTGAGAAAACTGAGGCTCAGAGAATTGTGGAACGTACCCAAGGTTCCATAGCCAAGGATTAAACTTCTAATTTCTACAAGGATCATAGAAATAACACAGTTACTAAGTGCCTTTTATGTGGTCGGCGACAGTGCCAGCTCATTCAAATCCCACAACGCCAGGAGGCTGGTGCTTCACTGTCCTCGATGCCCAGGTCAGCCAAGTGCCTGACACACAGTGGGTACCCCATCGATGACGCTGGAGAAAGGTGGCCGAGTGAATGGTGGCTGAGTTTTCTGCGGCTGCTCTAACAGATGAACACAGACCGAGTGCCTTAAAACCACACCCATTGACTATGTTATAGTTCTGGGGATTGAAAGTCCAATACGGGTCTCACTGGGCTAAATCAAGGTGTCCACAGGGCTGGTTGCTTCTGGAGGCTCCAGGGGAAGATCTGTGTCCCGGCCGTTTCCAGCTTCTAGAGGCACCCGAGTTTCTTGGCTCGTGGCCCCTCCTCCATCTTCACAGCCAGAAGCCCAGCATCTCTCTGACCTTTCCTCTGTGATTACACGTGTTTCTCTGACCCTCCTCTTCTGCCCTTCTCTACTTTTAAGGACTCCTTGGTTACAGTGCGTCCACCTAGATAATCTCCCCATCTGCTGGTAAGCACCCTCAATTCCGCTTTGCCGTGTGCATTGTCTGTGTAAAATGCTGCTTTTCGCAGGGGGAGACCCGCCCTCCCTCCTGGGGTGACGGCCCCAGGGCATGGAGGACCACAGCCCCTTCGCTCACACACGGTGACGACTTTCTGTCTCCTGCTCTCTGAGACATCACCTGGGTGGCGCATCCGGCCTGCTCAGCGCTGGATCAAGATGACCCCCTCAATGGCCCCCAGGGACAGAGAGGACGCGGATTCGCCCAGTGGTGGCTTGCCTCATTCGGTAATGTCTATTTTATATCCCAACTGGTCTCTATGCAAACATTCAGAGACAAACGCCATAGACCCCTCACGTCCCAGAGACATGGCAGATGTGGGCGGCGCCTCCCCTGGGCTGGGTCTGATCAGCCGAGCAGCGGCTCCCAGCACTGATGTGGCTTATGTAACTGCCCCCTTCGTGGCTGTATTCATTTCCTGGGGCTGCCACAACAAATGACCACAAACCTCGTGGCTTACAACAAGAAACATTTGTTCTCTCACAGTTCGGGACGCCAGAAGTCCAAAATCAAGGTGTGGGCAGGGCTGCGCTCTCTCCGAAGGTTCTAGGGGAGGGTCCTTCCGTGTCTCTTGCAGCTCCTGGTGCCTCCAGGCGTCCCTGGATGTGGCCGCGTCACCCAATCTCTCCTGTGTCTTCGCAGCCTCCTCCCTGTGTGTCTGCATGTCTCCTCCTGATCCTCGCAGGACCCTGGCCACTGGATTCAGGGCCCACGCGGACAGTGCAGCGTGGTCTCATCTCAGGATCCCTCACTTGATGACGGCTGCCGAAATCCTTCTTCCACATAGGGTCACAGTCACAGGCTCTGGGGATTTGGCGTGGCCGTTTATTTCTGGGGTCCCTGTTCAGCCCACAACCATGGCTGTCTCCCCACTGCGGCCAGGGCTCCTCGGGGGCAGGGACAAGACTGGGGCCCCCCGAGACCCCATTCCTAACCCAAGCTCCAGCACAGGGGCCCTCAGAAAAGGTATGCTGTCTTGCCTGGAACCCGGGGCACGCCCCGCCAGGGCAACCCCTCACGGCACGGGTAAGCCCGGGCCCTCAGAGGCAGGGTTTGTTGTGACGTCGGGGACGAAGCATTTTTCCTGGATCCACCGTTGGACGAAGGACAACCGTGACAATAACGGAAGCAGCGCATGCGTGTGACCTCATGAGCGGATTCTAGGCCAGGCCCTTCCCAGGCGTTATTGCGAATCCCCAGAAAAGGCCACTGCAGTGAAAACCACGAGAGCTCCCCCAGCACTGACTGGGCACCAGACGCTGCCCCATGTGTTCAATGGGAAAGACGTCCTCAATGCTCGCGGCAGCCCTACGAGGAAGGTGCTATTCTCATCCTCCTCTCACAGTGGGGAAACAAGCACAGAGCGGTTAAGGAAGCTGCCTAAGGTCACACAGCAAATACGGACCAGAACTGGGATTTGAACCCAGGCAGCCGGGCTCCCGAGTTGTGCTTGTAACTGCCACCCTGATCCCTGTTAGGTGGATTTCAGAGAAGCCAGGGCGCCCAGCTCTGGACCTGGCCACCGTGAAGCTCCTTGGGTTCCCCATGTCCTCTCACTCCGTGGTCTTTGTGCATGGATTGCTGTTCCCCGGTTCCTCAGCTGGCTAATCTCTGCTTGGCCTCAACTTAGTCTGCACCCCTTCCTCCAGGAAGCACTCCCTGGCCAATTGCTCCCCACCGTGTCCCCCAGGCGCTGGCACACCAAGTCAGAGCCACTGTTGGGAGCTGGTCTTCCTGCAGAGGCCGGAGCTCCGCGAGGGCTGGTCTCCTCCTCCCTGTGTCCCCAGGGCGGGGCCCAGAGCTGGGCGTGCGGTACAAGCATTACAGATACCGGTGGACAGAATGGAGCGTCCCCCGTCTGCAGCGCCCTTGTCCTGGGCACCCTTCCTGTGCCACCATCACCCGTCTCCTTTCTCCCAGACGGCTGTGTCAGGCAGCAGCCATGACGACCTTTCAGAGCCAGGTCTGTGATGTGCCCAGCTGGCTCCTCGGAGGTTCTGCAGGACAGGGCATTTTGTGGGGCTGCCTCGGGCAGGACGAGGCTGCCAGGGTGCAGCTTTCAGCAAAGGGCAGTAAGCCGCGGCTTGTTCCTCGGCACCATCCCGCTTGGGCAGTAAACCCTGATGAATGGGTTCTCATCGTGGACAAATGATTATGTTCATCACTTTTGGGGAAAACGGTTCCGTGCTGCTGTCAACAACTGAGAGAGAAATGCTGAAGCCTTGGCTCCATCTGGGAGCCTGCCTCCCACGCTGACAAACTCCCACTGTCTCCCCACGGCTCCACTGGCCACCCATGGGACACCCTCCTGGCCCCACAGGGACGGCAGGCCACCGTGTGCCCACGTGGAACCCAGCACACCCACTGTCCGGCGCTGATTATCAAAATACGCTGCATCATTTGGACACTTACGGGTATCCCCACTGGCCCAGGGGCTCCCTGTGGGCAGGGCACGAGAGCGGAGCTTGGGGTGAAGGACCAAGAGAGGGAGCGCTGGCCAAGAGGATGGGGCCCAGCTTCGGGCAGACAGACTGGGCTGGTCCTGGTCTTCTGGCTTACTTCCAGCTCTTTTTTTTTTTTTTTTTTGAGGAAGATCAGCCCTGAGCTAACATCTGTGCTAATCCTCCTCTTTTTGCTGAGGAAGACCGGCTCTGAGCTAACATCTATTGCCAATCCTCCTCCTTTCCCCGCCCCCCCAAAGCCCCAGTAGATAGTTGTATGTCATAGTTGCACATCCTTCTAGTTGCTGTATGTGGGACGCGGCCTCAGCATGGCCGGAGAAGTGGTGCGTCGGTGCGCGCCTGGGATCCGAACCCAGGCTGCCAGTAGCAGAGTGCACGCACTTAACCGCTAAGCCATGGGGCAGCCAGCCCTTACTTCCAGCTCTGTCCAGGCAGGCGGCTCGCCCTCTCTGAGCCTCAGGTTCCTTCCCTGTAAATGGGCTAAGGGACCCTCTCCCTGGCTCTGGTGTAGATAAGAACAGAGGAGGTGACCGTGAAGGGCCTGGTCCAGGCCGGGCCCACCGTATGTGGGTGACGGACCTTTGTGGAACCCAAGTACAGAACGCTCTGGGGCCTGGGTGCTCTCATACGGCGGAGAGAGCCCGGCGTGGGAGACTGGAGCCTGCACTGGTCCCCGGTGTCATGTTAGGAGAGCAAGCGGAGGCTTCGGAGGGAGGCAGACGAGGGCAGGACCCCAGGGAGGGCGCAGGGAGGAGAGGCTCCCAATGTATCAGAACCACGTGCGGGGAGGCGCCAGCCCCATTTTGGGAGAGAAGAGAGGCAGGAGAGAGAGACAGACAGACATCAGATACACAGCTAGAGGGGAGAGGGAGGAGGAGACCAGCGGCTGGAGCGGGGAAGAGGCGGAGAGGGAGAGAGAAAGGGAGAGGCAGAGAGGCCTGGAGCAGAGAGAGGCAGGCACACTCCAGGGCCTGAGACAGAGCGGGGGTCCCAGGAGTGGCTTTACAGATGATCACTTGGGATCAAGTCGATGACAGGGACCACCAATGCTGAACCCCAATTCAGCAAAAGGTTATCCCCAAAAGAATTCCAGTCTTTTCATTATTAGACCTGTATCACAAAAAGCTGTATTCCACTATTATATTTTGAATTTTGTCAAAAAAGAGCAAGTTTTCTCTCTTGCTCTAAAAGTCCCTACAGAGTATCCTCTCGGCCTACAAAGCCTAAAATACCTGGCCCTTTATAGAGGTATTTGCAGCCCTCTGAGCTAGAGCATCAGAGATAAGGGGGAGGGACGGGGAGGGGAGACCCGGCCCCGACACCCAGCTGAGGCCCCCGGCACCCGCGCAGTCCCTCCCACGGCACCCCACCTCGAGGACGTCGATGAGCACGCTCTCCTCCGCCTGCCGGGAGCTGCGCACGTCCTCCAGCAGCAGCGAGTAGTGCACGCCGCGCGGGTCCGACTGGTACAGGTTGTAGGTGTCCGTCTGGTACCATTCCTGCACCGCCACCAGCACCTGGTTCTCCTCCGTGCTGACGATCTGCAGGTCCTGGGGGTGTGACGGGGGAGAGCGCAGGGTCAGGGGGCTGGGGCCGGTGTGGGACCGTGAAGCCGGCCATGGGGGTGGGGAGTGGGCAGGTCTCAGGCCCCGGACGGGGCCACAGCTCTCTTGGAGTCAGGCTGACCTAGATTTTCATCCTGGCTCTGCTGTCTCGGCTCTGTGGCCGTGGACAGGTCCCTTTACCTCCCTGGGCCTCCGTTTTCCCACCTCTAAAATGGGGGTGACGTTCCGACCCTCTATACTGGGTTGGGAGAGGGAGGGCCCAGGCACAGGATGGGGGCAATGACGTCTCCTCCTCCTGGCCCCCCGTCAGGCTGTCTGCCCGTCTGCCCCTGCAGTGGGGAGGAGCAGTTCTCCATGCACCCAGATGGTCAGAAGCACCCCAGAGGATCACCTCTGGGAGGTGAGGGTGGGTCTCTTCCCTGGCCCCCTCCCCTGTCCCATCCTGAGGATCAGGTGAATCATCTGTTGGTTCATCCATTCAACACGTAGTCATTAAGCACCGACTGTGTGCCAGGCACTGTTGTAGGCACTGGGGTCCAGCAGGGAGCCACGTGTGGTCCCTGCCCTCTGGGAATGTATACTGGGTGGGAGGAAGGGGTAAATTCACGTCCCTAGACGTCATCAACGGGCTGCTGCGTGAGCTGCCCTGTGCCCACGGCTCCTCTGTGCCAGCCCACACCAAGCGCTGGGGCCACAGCGTGGGTCTCCCCCCCACCAAGGCCCCCGCCGGGCTCACAGCCACCGAGGCCCCAGCAGGGTGGTGCGCAGCAGGAACGGGCAGTGCAGGGCACCGTGGGAGCCGAGGGCAGGCCCCTCCCCAGCACAGGGGGCAGGAGGGCTGTCCTGAGGAGGTGACCAGCAAAGACCAAGGCTCGAGCCTCAGTTTCCCACTGGGAGCAGGAGGCCCAGGCAGCTCCTGAGGGGGCTGAGCGCAGTCATCTCAGGTTTCAGCTCCAGATTTTACAATTCAGAAGCGAAACAAAACCCCATCAAACCAAAAGGCAGGAAAAGAACCCAGGGCTAACCTTGGTTTCTTGTCTGTCTTTTCTCTCCCACCCAGAGCCACATGCGGCCCAGGAGCCTCGTGGAAAGGCATCTGCACAGGCCTGTTCTGAAGCCTTAACGAGCTTTTCTTCCCCAGCATCTATTACTCTGTCTTCTATCACTCCGAAACTGTTACTGCCCTTCTGGCAATAGAGCTGCCAAGACACGGGAGCTGAAGACGGCCGGCCGAGGCGGGGCAGGCCGCCCCGCCTGCAGAGGCGGCCCCCTCCATCCCACCATTGCGGGGCTGGTGCAGTTTTGGGGTACGCTTCCCTTTACATTGTCTCCTCTGACGCTAGGGCGTAGAGAAGGTAATTTTTTTCTCCCTAATAACAGATTGGGCCCCTAGTCTGTCCAGTCGGCATGGCCTTCCAGTGAGAGCAAAGACGTGGCTGCCTGGACCCCTCCCTCCCTCCCGCCCGGCCCCTGTGCTGTGCGGCCAAAGAACGGGCTTTGCAGAGAGGGGACACGGTGTGGTGAAGCACCCACTGTGCGGCTCCCAATCAGGGGGGACCCCAGCAGCACGAGCTGGACCTTTGTCTGCGGACGTAAATCTAACGTACAGAAATGACTAGAACGAGGAAGCTAGTGTTGGAAGGATTACAGAGGTCGGGGATGCAGGGCCTCGTGGTCCCCATCTGTGAAATGGGCTGGAGGTGGGTCTGAGGGTTGCAATGTGAACCCCAACACGCAGAGCAGGGTCATCGCTGGTCTTCTCTCCTGCCTCCCCTCCCATTTCTCCACGCATGGCCACAGGCCAAACTGCACTGTGTGTCACCAGGCATTGGTCACTCTGCTGCCTCAGCAGGGGCGGCGTGCCATCGGCCGTGCCACGGTGGTGCCGAGCTCAGGGCGTGCCCACATCAACCGTGCCATGAGCATTCGATGTTTACTGCTTTTGCATTAATTCAGACTTGGTCTCCTCTGCACCTGGGTGAGTGTTTGCATAACCTGGGTAAATGCATTGGGTAAATGTTTACTGTAATCTGGGAAACAAAGAAAAACGTATAAAGCAACTAAAAGTTGCCTACAATGCCTCCCCTTGAGAGACCCGATATTAACATTTTAAAACGTTTACTTTTGGGCTTTTCCCGAGTGTGATTCATATATTTTTTCATGTGTGGTTTGTAGCTCGCTTTTTCACATTATATGGGGAGCATTTTCCTCTGTTGTTAGAATTATGTGTAAACACCACTTTTAATGACTGTGTGATAGTCCATTTTGTGGACGTACCATATTTCATTGAATGGTTTCCCCACTGGTGAGCCTTTAATGTCTCCAAAATTATGTGCTAAACAGTCATGAACATTCCCAGACAGATCTCTGCCTCGCTGGTTATTTCCTTAACATAAATTCTAAGAAGGGAAACTGCTGCATTGAGAGCAGGCACATTTTTAAAGCTCTTGTTACATAGTTACTATCCCCAGAGTTTGTATTAATTCTTTCCCCAACGGCAGGGTAGAGGACACTCATTTCACCTCATGCACTCCAATACTGAGAATGCTCCTTTAAAAATCTTTGCTGATTAGAAAGTGATAAGTAATACGCAATTTTTGCTTATATTTGTATTTATAACTCTTGTTTTTAAGAAAAGCTCGAGGTAGAGACATTTGTTGACTCTATTTGTAAACAAAGGATATGAAAAACAATCACAAATATGTGTAGGTGTTTGTATGTATATATTTGTATGCCTTGGATAAATACGCAGAAGGAAACACCAAGGTCGCCAATATTTCTTACCAGGTAGAAATAGGTTTGATTGTGAGTAACAGAAACTGGGGGGAAAAAAGTGACAAACAAGATAGAAGTTCATTTCTCCCATGTGTAAAAGAAGTCCAGAGGTAGACAGTCCAGTATGAAAGCTCTACAAAGTCACCAGGGACAGAGGCTCCTTCTGGGTCATGATTTTACCGTCCCATGATACAGCCCTTGTCCTCACAGTCCAAAATGATTGCTAGGGCTCCAGCCATCATGTTGACACGCAGGGCAACAGGAAGGAGGAAGGAAAGAGGGAGCAAAAGGCTTGCCTTTAAAGGAGGGCTCTGAGAAGTCTCCCATGACAATCCCAATTGCATCTCATTGGTCAGATTTTAGAAACATGACCATATTTAGCTGCAAGGGAAGCTGGGAAATGTAGTTTTTTAGCTGGAAAGCAATGTGCCAGCTAAAATGTGCAGTTTGTTAAACTAAGATGAAAGGGCAGAATGGATATTGAGAGGTCTCCAAGGGTTTCTGCAACAGTCACACTGAGGAATGAGGAAATGAGATTGTCGTGGAAGGGAGGAATGAAGAGGAAACAGGTAGAAATGGTACAGAGATTTGTATTATTCCATCAGTTGTAGTGAACACATTTTAAAGAAGTAATTGTAGAAAGTTTAAAAACATTTTTAATAAGCATGATAGGGTAAATTTCCCCATAGATCTTTACATAAACTCGTGGAACGGCCTAATGAACCAGCACCTTCATCAGACTCTGTCAGCACTTTGAATATATCGACTCACCGCCTGCTGGCCTCCAAGGTTTCTGATGAGAAATCTGTTTATAGTCTTATTGAGGAGCCCTTGTATGTGGTGAGTTGCTTCTCTCTTGCTGCTCTCAAGATTCTTGCTTTGTCTTTCAACAGTCTGATTATAATGTATCTTGGTGCAGGTCTCTCTGTGTTTATACTACTTGGAGTTCATCAAGCTTTTTTAGATATTTACATTCACATCTTTCATCAATTTGGGGAAGTTTTTGGCCATTATTTCTTCAAATAACCTCTCTGCCCCTTTCTCTCTCTGGTCTCCTCTTGGACTCCCATGATGCATATGTTGGTCCACTGGATGGTGTCCCACAGATATCTCAGATGGTGTTCACTTTTCTTCACTCCTTTTTCTTTCTGATCCTCAGACTTGATCATTTCCATTGAACTATCTTCAAATTCTCTGATTCTTTCTTCTGTCTGTTTAGATCTACTTTTGAATCCCTCTTGTGAATTTTCCATTTCAATTATTGTTCTTTTTAGCTCCAGAGTTTTTATGTTTTCTATCTGCATCTTGGTATTTCTATTTTCTTCAAACATTGTTTTCTTGACTTTCTCCACATTTTTCTTTAGTTCTTTGAGCATCTTTAAGACAGTTGTATTAAAGTCTTTGTCTAGTAGGTCTGCCACCTGCATTTTCTCAGGAACAATTTCTGGGTTTTTTTCCCCAAATGGATCATACTTTCTTTGTACCATTTGTGATTTTTTTGTTGTTGGAAACTGGATGTTTGAATCTGATAATGTGGTATCTCTGGAAATCAGATTCTCCCTGTTCCCCAGTGTTTGCTGGTTTGTTTTTGATTTTGATTGCTGTAGGCTGTCTCTGCACCAGGGATCAGTCTGGGGTGTAAACTTAAGTTCTTCTAAGTCTTTTCTAAGCCTGTACTTTTCCTCAGCATGCAGGTGACTTTCTAAATTCCTCCATATATGTAACTGCTTTTGAGTGTCCTAGTCCTTAAATGTCTGGCTCTCGAAAGGGGAAAAGAAGGAAAATACAGGGGGGAAAACAGGCTCTGGCCCTTTAAATCCCGTGGACCCTGCTTCAGCTGGTGGGGGTTGCAGCGATGGCTGCCCACCTGGGTGTCTGCACCTCCACGATCAGAAGCAGCAATCAACAATCAGAGCACAGACCCCCAGCATCTGCAGGATAAGGTTCTTATTGCCCACCCTGGCTCCTGCAAGCTGTGTGCAAGCTGTTCACCTTTACTTCACTCTTACGAATGTTTTTATACAATTGACAGTCATTTGACTGTTTCTCCTCTTTTAGATACATAGGCTGTCGATCTACAGCCTATGCCTGTTTTTTTCTGTTAGGGAACATGAGTTTTGTTTTTCTTTTTTAAAATCCTTACAAAGAAAACAATTCAAGGATGCTGGCAAATATAATAAAAACTGTTCACCCTTTCTAGTTTTCACAGATAGGTTAATTAAACTAGCAGATTGGTGCCATTTATACCTCTGAAGCAGAAAGAAATGATATAGCACAAAATTTGGCAAAGCCGTGTTGAAGCTGGTCTGTTCCAACTTAGCTGATGGCAAGGTGGGACCCTTTGAAAAAGCAGCTAAACTACGCAAACATTTGTACCCATTGCCCAGCAGTTCTTAGAAAAATAAAAAAAAGAAATACCTGCGGGCCCAGATATATTCATTGTAGCCTGTTTATAGTTACGAAAACTGGAAACAACCCAAATGTCCAGGGGACAGGAATCGGCCTGGCTAAAGGGAGGTGCTGCTCAACTGAAAGTTCTGCAGTCACTTCAAGTGGATATCGTGTATCATTCTGGAACATTCTCACGACACAATGTCACCTGAGAGCAAGCTGCAGCCCGGAGCGCCTGCTAAGATTCAGCCACACAACAGTCACTTTGGCATCTGGCCAGGGACTTCGGGGAAACCAACCAGGGGCCCCGTGACCCGGGAGGGAAGCTGTGGGCGAGTCCCCTCTGCTCTGACTTCTATTGTTTTCATGCCACCTGGGCAATTAAAGGAAAACAGATGGGGGTGGCTTGGGGGGAAGAAACAGGCAAGAGTTACAAATTTACCATAAAACACAAAATCTGATTAGGAAATTCAATTAGCCAGTTCTACAAGATGTTGGTGGGAAACACCAGGTTCTGGCTGCTCTCCGGAATTTGGAGAAGAGGAAGCAGGCCGCCCCCCGGCCGGGCACCACTCTCGGCGAGGCGCCGTGTGGTCTTGAGGACCACTCGGTCCTGGGCGGTCGTGTTCCTGGAGAGCAACCTGACTCGCCCATCATCTTCAACTGCCCGTCACCGTGTCCTGGGCAGGGACCCCCAAATGAAGACTTGGTGCCAATGCAAATGCCGCCAATCTGAGTGGGTCCCTGGTCTTCCTTTGCGACTGGAGGACACGAGGGGCGTGTGTCTCATTTCCGTCACCCACTTACGATGTGGGGGCTGTATCTTCCATCAGAGCCTCAGGAATGGGGGGGGAGGCAGCAGCATGTCATGCACACTGTTGAGGGCCTGCAGCAGGACACACGCCGGGGCGTCCTGCAAACCCCACGACCACTTTGAGAAACCCACACTGCCATGTCCCCTGCAGACGAGGACCCCGAGGTCCAGGGAGGTGCAGCCAGCGCTCGAGGTCACGGAGGTCATGACTCGTGGCCGTAGGCTCCTGAGAACGCCCTCAGAAATGTCCTGCTGCTGCTCCAGCCACCCCCGTCCCGGAGAGGGGCGGCAGCCACCCACGGTCCCAATGCCAGAGGGGAGCAGGGAGGGACCCGGGTGTCCGCCTAACTCCTCCTCGCCATGTGGCCGCCTCCCCAACACCAGGACAGAGGACGCTTCTGATGCTGCAGCCCCCAGGGTGCAGGAAAAGTCCCCTCACCCCCAGGGACACCACTTGCATTTGCCCTAAACGAGACCATTAGCTTCTAATTTACTTACTCGGCCAGGCCTGGACTTAATCTACTAAGCTTGCTCCTTTTCTTTCTTTCCTTTCCATTTTTTTCTCTTTCCCTTTCCTTTTCTTTTTTAAAGAGAAAATTTAAAATGTTTTTAAAAGCCTCATGTACTTTTCCCATTTCTGGCCCAGGGGGGTGTGACGGTGCCAGCGCAGCAGCTCAGGGGTACAGGACTTTACAACAATCCACAGCCCCAGGCCTGCAGGGCCCCGAGTGCCTATCTGCTCTCACCCCACGCTTCCCCCTTCCCTCAGCGAGGCTCGCTCCTGCCCCAGGGCCTTTGCACAGGCACTGCCCTCCACCTGAACAGCTCTCCTGCAACCTTTGGGCTTCAGATGAAATATCCTCCTCAGGGAAGTTTCCTCACCCTCCATCACTCTGTCTTTGCCTCTTGTTCCCTTCATAGCACAGACCACGACTTGCAATTATTTTACATGTTTGTCTGTATACTCAATTTTCTGCCTATTTCCTCTCTGAAAACCCCACAAGAGCAGGAAACGGGGGTGTCGGATTCAGCTGCAGACAAGTTCCTAGCACAGATCCTAGCTTATACTTGATGCTCGGTGAATACGTGGGAGGAAAGGCTGCTGCACTCTGTGCTTCTAAACTCTGCACGTGGAATGGGGGTCTGTGACGCGGGCCATCCCACGTCCTCTGCAGGGGGATGTGGCATGAGGCTGGACTCAGACTCGCCCGGACCTGGGTTTGAGACCTGCTTTGGTTTCTTACTAGCTGTGTGACCTCAGACAGGAGACTCAGCCTCTCTGAATGGCAATCGCCTCCTCTGTAAAATGGGAACACCACGTCAGCAGGGAGGGGACTGTGGACTCTGGCCTGAGGCAGGGCTGGGGGCCGGGTCTGGGCAGCCCCCACGTCCCCCTTTGCTTCGCCTACCCTGGCAGAGGGGAGGAAGTGGCTTTGACGGAGCATCGACTGTGACTGCACACCATACCAGGCGGTTGGAATGCAGAAGTGAATAAAACAGAAACCTCCCCCAGCCCTGGAAACTGCTGCGGAAAGCAGGAGACAACGCAGGGGCCCCCCAGCACCCTGGGTGTCAGGAAGGAGAAGGGTGGCTGCGAACGGGAAACCAAGGCCTGGACCCGCCCGGAGGGTCACTAGTCGGAGGCACGACTCGGGAACATCACAAGTGCAGGAGTCTTGGGAAAAGACGGACCAGGCAGAGGGAAGAGCGTGGCAGCAGCCCTAAGACCGGGCGGAGCCGGGCACACGTGGGGCTGGAGCGGAGGGTGGGAGGGTAGAGGAGTCGCAGGAGGCATGGCCACCCTCGCTCCCCTGTCCTGACCTGGGGCCACGGAGCCCCGTGCACGCGTCCTGTGGCCCAGAGTCAGTGCCGGCTCAGGCCGTGGCCACACGGCAGGGGCCGGGGAAACCACCCCTACCTTTGGCAGTGCGTACTTCGGCAGCTTCATCAGGACAAATTCACCGCGACGATAAGAGACGTAGTATTTAGTCCGGTTTGTTGAGGTTGCCTAACAGGAGAGAGGAAACAAGTTTTTAAGGAGCTTGCTTTCCTGTCAAGCCAGAGCCTCATGAATGAAATACTACACATTGTATTTCAGCTGGTGAAATTTTACGTTGCTTACACCTGCTCTGCCTGAAGTAGACAGACTCCTATTCATCCTTCAGAGCCCCATATCAAATAACCCTCCTCTGGGAAGTCTTCCCCCACGTCCCTCAGCTAGAACTAACCTCTCTCCCCATGCACTCTCAGCACCTTGTTTCCCTGCATCCAAGTTATGGAACAAGGTGGAGAAAACCCTGTTCCCCAGAACTTCTCTTAGGGAGAGTACTTCGGTGAGCCACTGGGTAGAGGAAGATACAGGCCAAAGGTAAGCTCCAGCCACAAAAGATGACCACCAAACCCTGAGGCATGAGAGACAAAACAAGAGGCAACGCTTCCTGCGACTGTGGGCGTGGACGTGGCTGGCACTGTGCTGAGAGCGGCTCATTTGTTCTCATAACAAACAACTCTGTGAACTGTGATCACTTGCATTTTACAGATGAGAAAACCGAGACACGGAGCTGTCGTCTCCCACAGGAGATAACAGAAGAGCCAGGAAAAGAGGCGTCTGCTTCCTTGGGGACGGGGCAGGAGGAGAGAGGGACGGGAAGAGGGGCGAGGGGGTGGCGAAGGGGAGGCAGTGTCCTGTGACCTCTAGGCCTCTATGTGTGTGCGTGTGCACGTGTGAGGGTGTGTTCCCTGTGTGTGCATGTGTGTGAAGGCGCACACGTGTGCACACATGTGCACGCTTTCCGTTTATGCATGCATGTGTGGGTGTGCACCCCATGCATGTGAAAGCGTGAACATGTATCCCACACACACGTGTGCATGTGTTCTCTGTGTGTGCACAGGTGTGTGTGGGTGTGCATTCCATGTGTGAGTGTGTGGGCATGAGTCCTGTGTGTGCACGTGTGTGTGTGTCCGTGTGTGTGTGTGCGCACGTGTGTGTGCATGTGTGTGTGCACGTGCGTGCGTGTGTGTGTGCACGTGTGTGTGTGTCCGTGTGTGTGTGTGCGCACGTGTGTGTGCATGTGTGTGTGCACGTGCGTGCGTGTGTGTGTGCACGTGTGTGTGTGTGCATGTGTATATGGCAACACGGCGCCGTGCTTAAGGTCACAGGCATCCTGCATCACTGCCCAGGCTGATTCCAGCTCCACCTCTGAGCCACGTGGCCTTGGCAGAGCTACATGACTTTTCCGTGCCTCAGTTTCCCCCCTGTGAAATGGGGACGGCGATATCAGAGGCTGCCTGATGGGCAGCTGTGGGGATGAGCGGCTGTGAAGCGCTTGGGGCAGCGTGTGGCCCCAGCAGGAATCACACAGGGGTTGGATACGTCTGTTATTGCAAATCAACAGGTACACAGCCACCCCTACCACACGCCCGCGGTGTGCAAAGCATCATGACCACATGATGACACGACCTCTCCAAACGATTCTGTCCCTGAGGGTGGGACGGTGAGGTCTGTGGTGGTCCGGCCCTCAGGCCCCTGGAGTGGGGAGTGTTGTGATGCGGGAAGCTCAGGTGTCCTGGGAGCTCAGAGAAAGGGGCCCCTGGGGCAACCGAGGCCGGGCAGACTTCCTGGAGGAGGTGGTGCCCTGCTTTCTCACAAGGAAGAGCCACGCAGCCCGGAGACGGAGACGGATGACCTGCTCAGCAGGTGGGGGAAGACGGAGAGGGAGTGGCCGAGAGAAGTCAGTGTCCTTCTCAGAGCCCTGTCTGCCATCAGCTGAGCTCCAGCAAGGGGCTAAGAGAAGGCAGCACCAGGCTCCACGGGCCTTCCACCCCTGGAGAACTTTGCTTTCACCGGGGAGGGCACTGGGGAGCCATGGGCGGATGCTCAGGGAGTGAGGGTGTGCCCAGTCCCACTCCTGCCAGGAGCTGGTGGGAAGACAGCTGGGCCGTCTGCTGGGCCTGGTGGAGAAGGATCGAGGCCTTCAGAACTGCTGCCCCTCCTCATCCACAGGCTAAGGGGTGGCGGGGGGCTTGCGGTTGAGTTCTGAGGCTGTGGGCCAAGCAGCACCGCCACCTCGGAGAGATGCAAATGCGACTTTCCCCTGGTGAGTGGAGCCAGGCAAGGCCAGCCTCCCCCACGGGAAGGTTCTAAACACAGCAGCATCCTTTACGTTCGAATCTGCCCGCACTGCCATCACCTTCTCAGAATGGCCAACCCGGAGCCTCCGGCCGGGCTGAGGGCGAGCCACCAACCGGGAAGAGCTGTTTCTTCTCTAAACCGAGCTTTTCTTCTCTCGAGGGCGAGGTCATCTGGCAGCTCCAGCGGGGCCTTGCCCAGTGGTGAATGCTGCCCGCATCTGTCCCAGGCCTCCCGTGGACGGGGACTTCATGCCCATTTCGTGGATTAGCAAACAGAGGCTCAGAGGGGGAACAATGGCTCTGTGCAAGCCAGTCAGTGGCCCCTCAGGTCCAGACCCCCCACTCGGGTCTGAAGAAACACCCCCGAGGCCCAGGGCCTCTTTCAGGGCCCTGTTACCCTCCCCACAGCGTGGCTCCAGCAAAGGAACCAGCGCCGCTCAGCGGCCTGACTCAGGACCTGCGGACGCTCCGTGCCGGCTCCGAGCCCTGCCCAGGCGCTCTGCGGCCTCCGGGGGCCCAGCGCTCCCTGGGCGCCTCCTGCAGCTCTCCCTCAGGTGACCACTGCAGGTGACACTGCAGGCCCGCAGGGAGGCCATGGTGCCCGTCCTGTGCCGAGAGCCTGGCAGGCGCCCAGGCTTGCCCAGGGTCTCCCGCCCGTTGGTGGAGGGTCTGGATTCTCTGCCGACTCCCCAGCCAGTGCTCCTTCCACCAGAGCAGACTGTAGGTGTGGCCGGGGGCAAAGGGCACACCAGACACCCGCTGTCCCGTCAGGAGACCGGGCACTGCCTGCTCAGATGGGAGGACGTGCGGAGGGAGGGGCCAGGCACCCACCCTACACCCCCCGGGGCCCGCCGCCCGCCGCCCGCCGCGGCCTCAGTGAGCAGGACCCGGCCCAGGAGGGGAGCCGATGCAGGCAGTGCCCCCGGGGACCGTGCCCCACTAGCCGTGGCGCTCAGCAGAGCACCTAGTGTCCCTGAGCCTCTGTTTTCTCTTCAGTAAAATGGGGCTACAGCAAAGACGGGAAATGCTGTGAGCAAAGCGGTTTCTGGGCGTCTGTGCTCCCCGAGGAGCTCGAGAGAGAGCAGCCCTGTCACTGTGGGCCAGGAGGGAGGACGGAGCGGGTGACCGCAGGGCATCCACCCCTCCGAGCCGGACACGGCAGCGGCCCCCCAGAGCCGGGTCTCGGATCTCAGCCGTGGGAGCGCCGTTTGGACAGGTCTGGGAAGCACAGGCCACTGTCCTCTCCGCTACCCCATGGGCGAGGTGAGGTCCAGCCCAGACGGGGACAGAAGGTCTGGGCCCCACAGGCACCTACGCCCTGCGGCCACCGCAGAGGGCGATTCCCCTGGCAATGGCTGTCAGGTTCATCTCACCCCGTGGGCAGAGAGAAATGGCGGGAAGGGCCTGGGTCCCCCAAGGACCAGGCGGGAAGGAAGGAAAGAGAGGAGGGGGGCAGGGCCACCTCCCAGCGTTTCCCATGGGCTCCCTGCGGGCAATGGGCCGGAGAACCAGCACCGCAGGAGGGCAGCCTCCGGGTGGCGCCCCAGCCGGGGGTTAGGAACAGCTTTTCTGGGCCACTGTTGAGAAGGGCGGAGACCAGAGCGACTCAGGCCGTGAGCTGCACTAGCACAGGGGCCCCGGCCGCCGGAGTGGGCGCTGGGGGCACCGTGCTCACACCCAGGCTGGGCGTTCCCCTGTCCAACACAAACAGTGTCACCGGACACCAATGTCAGACCAGGCCACTTGGCGAGCGTGAGGGATGGGGACAGAGCCGAGAGCATGTGGTGACCACGTCTGAACACAGACAGACGGAACCACAAAATGACCACCCGCCCGTCCCGGCTGAGACGGCTGAGGGCCGCGTCTCCACCGGCTCGGCTTGGCCTCGCTGAGCCCCCTCCTTCCCGAGATTTATTGCGAGGCCCAATCATAGTGTGTCCCGCTTCCTGACGGCACCCAGTCCTCGAATCCTCCCGTTACCTCCCACGGCCCACCCTACAGTCAGGCCTCCCCAGCCCCTCTGCCTGAGACCCCCATGCTGCCCCACGCTGCTCTGAGTACTAACCCAACCTGTGCAGCCACAGGTGCCCCCGGGTCTCAGGCTGGGGCGCTGGCAGACCAGACAATTAGAATGTTTAGAAACCACTCGACATGGGAGATGGTTGTCAAAAAGCTGACACCGTCTTTGCTCTGATACTCAGCAGACATTTGTGGAAACGCAGTGCGAGGTGCAGGGGAAACAGCGGTGCTGAGTACAGAGCAGACCGAGAGCCCTCCCTCGGATTGTGACAATAAAGGATGACAGTGTGGCCTGGGCCGGGAGCAAGGAAGGCACAGGGCTGGGGCGCTCCAAGCAGGCAGCCAGTGGGCCTGAAGCAGAGGCGGAGGTCAGGGAAAGCTTCCTGGAGGAGGCGGTGCATGGCCGAGTCTTGGAGGAGGAGCAGGAGCTGGCCAGGTGGAGAAGGGAGTGCGGGTGTTCCAGGCACAGGGGACAGTGTATGCAAACACAGAGAAGGAATCGGAAGCCATGGGGCTGGCGTTAGCAGAGGGCAATGGAGAATGCGGCAGGGCTGGAAGTTAGGGCCGGGGGATGGCAGGAGCCTCTTGCCTGGCCTGCTGTAATGGGAGACAGTGATGCCCCTGCCAGTTCCAGCCCCTAACTCCACAAGGGCCCCTGGCACATGCGTGCGTGGAGAGGGGCAGCTGGGGTGACGAAGTGTCCCTGAGACAGGGCAAAGGGCAGGTTGGGGAGCACAGAGGGGCCTTCTGGGGAGACAACACCCAGTGGCTGCCCTCAAGGGGCTTTCTCTGTAGGATCCTTTGGATTTGTCTCATGGGATCCCAGAGGGCAGAACAGGGGCCACTGGATGGGAGTAGAGGAAACACTTCGTCTCAGTGCTGGGATGAACTTTCTAAAGATTTGAGCTAGCCGGGAGAGGGCTAGGCTGTTGTGGAAGGGGTGACTGCCTCGTCAATGGAGGTAATCAAGAATCGGCATGACCGATTCTTCACTGCAGTTGCTGAATGGTTTCTGAGGGTGGTCCCACCTGTGACCTGAGTACTCGTGTGTACAGGCAGCCAAGAACAACGACCAGAGACAGCCCTTATCAGTTCCAAAGTCACTGAAACCAAATGGGGCAAAACGGGTTTGAGCTGGGGGACCCGGAGCTGTGGGGGCTGGGGGCGGTCCTGGTGGGCAGAAGGGAAGAGGGGCGGATGGTGTCCCCGAGCCAGGGTTCTGGCTCGTGGGGCCTTTGGAGGCGCCTGCAGCCACCGCCACGGGTGCGGGGACGCTGTGAACCAAGCAGCACTTGAGAGTAAAGCAGCCATTTTACGCCTCCTGTCTGGGTGCTTCCATCTTCCCAGAGCGGCTTAGACGCCACGTCACCTCCCGCCGATTTCCAAAAGCCCAGAAGCGAGCCCACCTTAAAGAAGACGTAGCCGTCCTGCACGGTCAGGGAGCTGTGGTCGATGGGGCCCGCGAACGGGGCCGCGAGCGTCTTCTCGGAGCAGTTGTGGGTCCGGCAGGTCATGTACCGAAAACCTGCAGGAGAGAGAGCCGGCCCCGCGGCGCGCGAAATCTCAGACGTTCAGACCCCGGCTGGGGAGAGCCCGTCACGGGCCCAGGCACGGCGAAGCACTGGCCCGCTCCCGGCCCCGCCCGCATTGCAGGTGCTGCCGCGGGGCTTGAACGTGGGCTTGCCCGTGACACGCCGCGGCGGCAGGCGGCGGCTTTGGCCAGGCGCCCCCCTGCGATGAGCGCTTTTAGTCCTCAGGAAGCTATCAGTGGTCCCACCCTACAGACGAGGAAACTGAGGCTGAAGGAGCGGCGAGGTCACTGGTCTACAGCGCCAGCCAGCTTTTCACGAATGAAGCCTTCCTGCAACAGCCGCGCCTGCTCGCTCACGTGCCGGCCACGGCCGCCTCCACACTGCGACGGCAGCAGAGGCCATACGGCCGCCAGGCTGGAAAGATCAGTGGCCGGCCCCGACAGAAGACGTTTGCTGACCCCGAGCTAAAGTTGGGCAGGCGACTGTTGGAACGTGAGTGCCCGACCTGACCCACCTTCTCCCACTGCTCCCTGCCGCCCCCACCCGGGCCTTAGGCGATGGGCGGGGACCGCACCTGCACACACATGGCCGCCTGGATCCGTCTCTCTGGGAGAGGGACCTCCACCTGACCCAATGAGGCTGCGGGCAGGAGACCCCCACACACTCCCACCCAACCAGCCCTCGCTGGGTGCGTGCAGTCACCCACGGGAAGGGACAGCACAGGGCCACCGTAGGCACCATAGCGCCCACCAGGGCACGGGACCCCTCCTGCCCTCCTGGTGTCTCTACCTAAACAGGGCTGGGCCTCAAGGGTTCTTTCCCCCTAACTTTAGGCGACCACTTTCATCTCTTCAAAGATTTGCGGTTGAGCAAAATCGAATGCGCTTTCCTGGCAGCTGCTGCTGTCATTTCCAGTCCATCCGTCTTCCCAGGGCTGGGGTCCAGCGAAGCTGTACAGACGGGCTGGAGCCCACGTGCCTTGGGAAGCTCTTCTCTCCAGTGTAGGGGGCGGGCGTGGGACTCCATCACCCGGACCAAGGTGGAGCCCAGCAAGGGCGCTCGGAGTCCTCAGAGCCCGTGGGGCACATCCTGCCCACGGCTCCGGGTGGCCGGGCAGCGTGGAGAGAGCTGAGAGGCCAGGCCTGGGGCCAGGAGGACCCACGCCTAATTCACGGGCAGGGTCATCTCCGTCTCAGTTCCTCCACTGTGACATGGACGCTACTGACCACCTCCAAGAGCTGTTAGGGTCCAGTGAGACAGCAGCACACAGTAGGTGCGCAGTCAGCCTCGGCGGGGCCACTGCCCACACTCCTGAACCACGTCCAATTCCCCTTCAAACCGCCTGGTCACTCCCTGCGGTCCCCACTGAATTTCCTGTCGTGGGCCTGCCCGGCGGGACACACGGTGGGGAGACCAGCCCAGGCCAGACTCAAAGTTGACAATCCACTCATTCACTCACTCACTCACTCATTCATTCCCTCCCACACTCACTCATTCACTCACTCACTCATTTGTTCACTCATTCATTCATTTGTCCACTCATTCACTCACTCACTCACTCACTCATTCATTCACTCACTCAGTCACAGTGTCCCAGCATCTGCTCAGGGTGACTGGCGTCTGACCATGTGCTTATTCACTCGGCAGCTCTACTGGGGACACAGTGGTGAATCAGTCAGACCCTGCCCTGTCCTCCAGGAGCTCCAGGCCGGGGAGTGTGCAGAGCGTGACAGGGCATCTGGGTGCTGTGGAATCCAAACGAGGTGGTGGGCAAGGTGGGAGGGCCGAGGACAAGAAGAAAGAAGTCCAAGACAGAGGCAGGGATGTCATGAGAGACAAGCACGCCTGCAGCTGCTCTGTCGAGCCCAGCTGGAGAGTCAGGCCCCGTGTCGCCCCTTGCAGGGCCTGGGAGGTTTTGGATTAGTGCGTGGAGCATGGCGGGAGCAGGGGTCTGAATTGGCCTGGGACCCTGTGACTGTGGGCAAACCTGGGGCCTCGCTGAGCTTTGTTCTCCCAGTGAGTGGAGCAGAGGTGACAAGAGCACCTGCTCCACCTCCCCGGATGGCGGGTCCAGGAAAGCGCTGAGGGTTTGGACACGGTAAAGGGACCCAGCAGTAGCTTCCATCCGCCGAGAGCTTACCCCTGCCATCCCTGCACTGAGCACTGTGTGTACTGACCCATTTCACAGATGAGGAGACCGGGCGCAGGGAGGCAGGGTAACCTGCCCGGGGTCACGCGGCTGGCACACGGTGGGCTGGGAGCTGATGCCAGTGCTCCTGTTCTTGGCCAGGACCCTGTGTTCCCTGGCACCGACCCTATGTGCCACACAGCATGTCCCACGCAGGGAAGCGCACTGCTCTGCACCTGTCAGCTCCCACTAATGTTAAATGTGACTCTGCCCAGGTCTCCCCTTGAACAGAAACCAGCAGGAGGAGACCATGAGCCCAGCATCTGCAGGGAAGTGTGGTCAGGACAGGGACCGGCACCCGGGTGGTGCCCCCCTGCTCTCCTCCCTCCCTGCTGCACTCGGGGCCCACGGCTCATGCAATGGTCGACTGCGTCTATGCTGTCTCCCACCACACAAGGGGCAGGGCTGTGTCTTGTTCAGCTGTGTGTCCCCAGCAGGGTCAGCACTGGGCCTGGCCCACAGGGGACTCAGTAAGTGTTTGTTGAATGAAAGTACAATCTATGGGTCCTCTTGGCTCTGATGTTCTAGAAAATCCCACGGTTCTAGAACATTCCATGGTTCTTCGGCCAATATTCTTCCCTCAGGAGCACAGAGAACCTTTCTCAGAGCATGCAAGGCCCCTGGGCTTGCTCTGGCATGAAGCCGGCTGGGTTGGGGTGGCCAGGCCCCCGCCCCACTGGAGGGGAAGCCATCAGAGGCCCCCCACCCCCAGCACTCAGCCAGGGCCAGGAGTGGGGGCTGAGTGAGCAGGAAACACTCAATGCTCAGGGGCCAGAACAAATCGCCCTCTTAATAGACTTTTCCACTGGAGCAGAGCTCCTTGACTTCAATTTATCCCCAGCTGGAAAACAAGCCCATCTAAAATTATGCCACATCATAACACAGCGAGGCTGGCTGTGCAGGGCCAGCCACCGAGGACGAGCGAGTGCACACGGGCACAGGAGGCTGGCCGCAGGTGAGGACGCTCAGGGACACCCGGCATAGGCACCCCTCCCAGCTTACCTCCTCCAAGGTCCTGGGCTTCCATGTGGACTAAGTCAGGGTCGGCATCCACCCCGGACACAGCCCTGGAAAAGAGGGGCTGAGGTTGGCGCCAGGAAGGGTGTCCCTCGGCCACTCGCGGTGCCAGTGTCTATCCCCCACCCCACAGAGCCACGTGGCCTCCTGGGTCTGAGGTCACCCTTGCTCTGTGGGTCAGAGGTCACAGTCCTCCCCGAGGGCCAACCTGCTCCTGGGAGGCACTGGAGCCCCTGCGTCTGCCTTGCGGGGCCCGGGGTGGGCTTGGCGTTCTTCTATGCATACTACTGCTTGCAGAGGACTTTCTCCTTTACAAGACACTTTCCCATCCCTTTTGTGGTGTTTTTTTTTTTTTCTTTTTTTGTTGATCAAGACGATCTTAGGAGGCAGGGCCACGCGTGGGAATATCACTCTAAATTTGCAAATTAGGAAACTGAGGCTCAGAGGAGCAAAGCAACTCCCCCGAGGGCGCACAGCTGTGAGCGGCAGAGCCGGGGGTCACACGGGGTCCTCCTCCCTTGACCCCTGCTCCCTGGCCTCGCCACCAGTCACCGGGCGCCCCTGGGAAGGCGCTGCTCTCAGCCGCGGCCCCTCCCTGGAAGGGGCAGAGTGATGGTGTTGGTCTCGGGGTTCAGGCAGTGCCTGGAGCACAGAGGGGACTGTGGCTGAGCGGACGAAGACGCATCCTAGGGTCCAGCTCCGTGTCCTCCAGGGAGGCAGGGACGGGGTCCAACCACTTCAGCGCTGACCCGGTGCCGCCCAGCGCAGGGCCTGGCACCCAGGATGTGAAGTGCAGATTTTTCGAACAGAAGGAACCTTGGAGACGACCTGGTGCAGAGTCTCCCAGATTTACCGTATCCGTGGGTCAAGGGGACTGTCATCTACCCACAGGGGCTCCCTCTGAAACCCTCCACCTTCATCCTTCTCCTAAGCAAGGACACCTGGGCGTCGTGGGTCTGACGAGCCGGTTAGATTGTGATGATCTGCCTCCAGGCCAACAGGACTATTGTGACCCATCCACCAAACCCACCCCACTCAGGGACACTGACCTAACGGGGCACACTTACTTTGCCGAAGAGCAAACTGAGGGTCAGGACGCGGAGGTCACTTCCCGCAGTCACTCTGTGCCTGGGACAGACATGCTGTCCTCCCCACAGCCTGTCCCCACGGCCCCTTCCAGACGTCCCGGCAGAGCGCCCACTCTCCCACAGCCCCTCCCCCATCACTGACAGCCCCACCCGGAGTTGGTGAGTTCAGTTCTCAACCCACCTCCCAGGGGGCCCGGTTTGCTTCACCGCCTCCCAGGCCCAGGTGCCCCAGCTGGCCCCAGGTGGACGGGCGCAATCTGTAAGTGGGTCTGAGCGCCACGGCCCCCGCAGATGCTCCATGCCAGGAGCGGGTTGGGAGCCCCCGCAGTGCACTGATGTTTCAGACCGTGGGCACCAGCATCGATCTCTCTGACCCCGGGTGGGGAGTCTCGATGTCAAGGTGAAGCGTTGAGTCAGGCTTTGTGAATAGACCTTTTGTGAGCTCCGTGGAAGTAGCTCTCCCGCCTGACAGTTCTCTCTCTTTTCTGAATCAAGACGGACATTGTTCCCTTTACAGGAGCACTGCTGGGTCCTCAGCTGGGCACAGGGAATTTTAGTCTGACAATCCATCATCTGTACAGCGGGCCAATGACACCGCCTGTTCCCCGCTCATGCACTCACTCACTAATTCATTCACTCACTCCTTCACTCACTCACTCACTCACTCATTCATTCACTCTTTCTATAAGTTCATCCACTCACCGCTCCCATCCTTCACCCTCCCACTCCCCCATCAGAGTGTCTCCCACTGCCGTTTCTCAGCATGGCCGTGGCACCCCTGCACTAAGCACACAGCACAGTGGGCCCGAGGTCCCTGCCCCAGAAACGCTGGTCATGGGTTTTGAAGATCACGAGAGACTCTGCATTTATAGCACATCACAGGAGCCTGGCTCCCTGCAGGAAACCACAAGTGTGGACCCCTGTGCCTTCTTGTCAAACAGCAGGCACATGACACGGCCCACAGGCAAGCCGATCTCTGGAGAGCGAGGTGCTCTGGGACTGCGGGGAGTTGATTTTTACTCCTGCTGGATGCTAAGGAAGCTCTGATGCAGACGGTTCTGATAAAGCCCCAGAGGCACTGCAACCAAGCCTGCGGCGGGTGGAACAGAGGCACTGCGGCCGGTCCCACAGCTGGGCGGGCACTGGCACCGACGGAGGAGGAGGCTAAGGCTTTCCCGGGCGAGCGCAGAGCTGAGCGGAGCAGCAGACACGGCCACGCCTGGTGAAGTGCAGGCGGCCAGGCTGCCCAGCAGAGCGGTCAGCAGCACGGCCACAGGCCATGAGCAGAGGTAGCCACAGCCCGGGGCTGCTGCTCCCTGGCAACCTGCCCTAGGACAAGTGCCTCAGCCTCTCTGAGCCTCAGTTTCCCCCCTGCAACCTGAGGGGAAGACTCTCAGGGGCTGTGGTGTGGATCCCATAAGAAGAGGCGTTCAGTCTCAGTCTGGTGCCTGGGGGACGGTCAGCAATCACAACAGGGCAGCCACTGGGCGGCTGCTGGTAGATTTTGTCCTGGGGCCACTGAGAGACTGACAGGAGGGTGAAGTGACACGCTCACGGTGGGCCCGGACGGAACGCAGCAGGTCCCCCCAGCGCTGTCCGCCCTGCCGTGCCCACAAGGCCACCCCAATGAGCCCACTTGTTGTTTAGCTTCTCAAAACATAAGTGGTCAAGCTTCAGACAGAACACGGGGCTTTGGCAATTCCCGCTGTCAGTTCAAGGACAAAGAGCGCCTTGGAAATGCTGTCGAAACAGCCTTATTCACTGCTTACGGGGGGCCCCCATCACCGCACCGTCACTGCCACCACATTCCAGGAGAGATTCTGGTCCCCAGCGGCCAGGCATCTGGCGTGACTCTCTCACACGCATAACAACTCAGAGCAATCTGAGAAACTTGGGGGAAGAAATAACATGATTTGCCCAAGATAACAGCATGTTTGAATCAGCACCCCAGTTTACTTTCAGTATCTGTGGGCTGGACTCTCTCTCCAGCTGGAGGGTGTCCTGGGAGCTCGGCCAAGGCCCAGATGCTGACGCAGCCTTGCCTGTCACTGGACACCCCATGGCAGCTTGGCTGCTCTGCCACTCCCCTAGGCCACCGCAGCGGCTCAGAAATCCCGCCTCCTTGCCCCGCCCACCTCCTGTGAGGCCTTGGGGACAGCAGTTGACATTAGTGACAAGGCCGGTGATTGATGGCGGGGCTCCAGTTTCCGAGGCAGGAACTGGGCCCTCCCCTGGGCGGCCACGTGGAGAGAGAGCCATCACTCTCCCACCAGCGAAAGGACGCTGACCAGGAGCCAATATTCCAGCGGAGACAAAGCTTCCCTTCAGCCCTGGGGCCATTAGTCAGGGAGCCAGCTCCTTGCCAGGACTAGCATGGACACGTATGTGGAGCAAGAGGGGACAGGGGCACCATTCCCACCACGTTTGTCCACTGGAGAGACAGGACTGTGGCTGGGCGAGGAGGCCTGTGCAATAGCCTGTTGCACAAATGAGAGAAGGAAGGGAAAGGATACGAGTGTGTGTGTGTGCACGTGCGTGCGTGCACACGAGAAAGAGCATGCGGCACAAAGAACACGTGTGTAGCTGTGCGAGTCCCCAAAGGCAGTTTCAGCAGAAGGACGGGTCCTGGCACTGCTGGTAGGAGCTAATGCAGCTCTGAGCCGGCTCCTGGCCTCCAGCTCCCTCTGCCGCCCGGCCCTCGGCCAAGTCCCCATCCTCTGTGGGTCTCACTGGCTCATCCCACAAGCATTTCTTGAGCACCAGAGTTTTCTCGTTGGTGCAGGGAGACTAGAACACTGCTCCAAGGAGTTGTCGAGTGGCTCCCAAGGGAACACAAATGGGGAGCCAGGGCCAGCTGCCTGAACGCGGGTCCCCAGCTTGCCAGCTGCCCGCACCTGAGCCCCCGGGCATTTCCTCCTTTCCCTGCATGGCACGTCGGGGGCATGTTCCCAAACCTACTCCACTCATTGAACCAAACGGGCCAAGCAGGATGACCCGCAGGCTGTGGGAGGGGAGCCCAGGCATCGAATGGGGCAGGAGACAGGGCTGAGGTGGGCAGAGGCCTAGGAAGCTGTGGGGCAGAGGAGGCTGCACCACGGGGCAGTTATCAGGGGCCAAGTCACGACCTGGGGCAGGAGGAGGGGCCGGAGGGGTAGAGGAGGAGAGAGGGGCATGGGGGAGGACAAAAGGGAGGGGCGGTGGACCTACTATGCGCTGGGCACTGTGCCAGCTTTATGTACATTAGCATCTCTTCCTACTAGGGAGGAAACAGGCTCAGAGAGGGGCTGTCAAGTGCGTGAAGCTGCACAGCTGGCTCCTGTGTGCACCCGTGGCCTGGACTCTCAACCGTTTCCTCCCTCGCCCCAGCAGAGCAGAGAGGCACCTTCAGAGGTCCCCATGGGATGAGGAGGTGGAGGGCAGGGTCAGAGCAGGAGAGGGCGGGGAGCCCCGAGCTGGGTGGGGGCTGAGGGGCCCTCAGTCCCCAGGGGTGTACTCTCACCAGAACACGTGGTCTTTGGTCACTCGCTCCTGCAGAAGTGTCCACTTCTTCCCCAGGTCAGATGACACATAGAGCTTTAGGGCAAAAAGAAGAGAAACAAAAGTCTGGTCACAACGTGAGGAAGGAGCCTTTTCCCAGAGACGGCGATCGCTCCTCCGTGACGGATGCCCAGGGAAAGGCAGTCTCGTCCAGCCCTGGCTGAGGACCTGCTGGTGGCAGGCCCTGCGCTCACACGGGGTACAGACCAGCCCCCAAGAGGCTGAAGGTCAGGCGTTGGGGCTCCATAAAGAGCCATTCCCAACCCCAGGCCAGGGGGTAGGAGCCAGGCATGAGGTTCTCCGAGGAGAAACCCAGGGAGCCTTCCCAGAGGAGGAGTCTGCAAAGGGCTGGAAATGTGCAAGAGGGTCAGTGCAGGAACCAGCAGCGTCCCCTCCGTGCAGGCTGGTTGGGGCCTGAAAACCAGGCAGCCTTGCGGGTCTGTGATCACCGCAGTAGCAGGGGGCCTGTGCTCACCAGGGCCCCGAGCTTGGGGTTTAAATGCTCTGCGGCCTGTAGCTGACTTGAATTTCCTAATAACTTTATCTTTGAATCTGAGTTTCGTACATGAAGCCTGATGGAACAATGAGCTTGTGTGGGGCTTGGTGCCTGGGTTCCTGTGTGGTCCTGCCTCCTGCCGCCTCCCAGGACAGACTCTGGGCTGCCCGCCCGTGCCCTTGTCTGCACCCTGCGACGGCTGCATCCTCCACCCCCAGCGGAGCCCAGGCCAGGAGGGTCAGGGTTGGGCGCCCTGCGCACTGAGTCAGGAGGCAGGGCCCCTGGGCCTGGCAGGGTCTGTACTCGCCCCACGAGGGTCTCTGTACGCAAGGGAGCGTGACGTTAAATGGCTCATAGAAAACACATGACAGGTCGAGACGGAGACTGCTGAAGAAAGAAAAAGGGCTTGTCTTGGTTTTTGAACATTTCTCGTTCTGCACTGGACCCTGCAAAGGACACAGCTGGCCCTGCCTGAGACCACCAGGCCAGGGCTGGATAAGATGAGGTGCTCGGGAGGGCTGAGGCCAGTGCCATGCAGTGGAGGCAGCGGGGCAGCGCTGTGTGTGCAGCCTCCCCGATCACAGCCAGACGCTGTCCAGCCAGGGGCAGCAGGCTCGTGGAGAGGAGGAAAGGGCTGCAGGAGAGGCCCATTTAGGGAGCTGGACAGGCCCTGGGAGGAGGGGCAGGGGAGGCTCTGGCCTGGGGATCCCGGGTGGGAATGGTGCCTTCAGCAAACAGAGAAATGCCAAGTGGAAGGTGCAGGCACCACGGGGCCAGACCCAAAGCTGCTCCTCTCCCTCTGCTGCCCGTGGGAGGGTCCTGATCAGACTGCAGCGGATGAGACAGTTCTGAGAGGGAGGTGAGATCCGTCCTGGTGGGGGGAGGCAGCTCTCCGGGGACCGCAGGACGGGTGGGTGGGGAGGGGCAGCCATGTCCGTGCTGCACCAGCCCCCGCCGTGCTGGGGACCCAAGAGCTCCGCTTCTCATACGAGAAAACCGAGGCTCAGGGAGTCGGCCTGAGTACGCGAGGCGGCAGCACTGTGCGTGCAGCCTCCCCGATCACAGCCCGACGCCGTCCAGGACCCATCTCCTCAGCAGCCGCCACACACTGGAGGCCAAGAGGAGGCTGGACGCTAAGGTCGCTGGACACAGGAGCGCCCGGGCCAGGAGAAGCTGAGGCTGAGGGCCACGAGAGATGGGCTGCGCCTCCCACGGCCTGGCCATGCTTCCTGAGCTGCCAGCAGGAAGGGAGCCCCGGGGGCGAGCCTGACCCGGCCTCCTGTCCGCAAGCTCACGTCTGAGAGGAGCAAGCGTGGACCTGAGAGCAAAGGACTGCGCGTGAGCACAGACATCCACCACACGCTGAGAGCAGGGGAGGGCTGGTGCCTGGGCCCCGGGAGCCAGAGGAGGCTTCACACACACACACACACACACACACACGCAATGCACACACGGATACATGTGTGCGCACATTCATACCACGCATACACGTGCGCAGAGACATGCACACACAGAGACATGTGTGTACACCCATGCACACAGGGAGACAGACACACACAGACCCACATGTGCATACAGACACACACAGATCCCTGTGTATGCACACATACTCTCATGCACACATGGAGAAACACACAGATGACACAGAGAAACACAAGCAGACACAGATGTGCACACACACATGCTTACACAGACAAAAGTTCACGCACATGTGAACACACACACAGAGACACAATCACACATAGGCATCACATACAGAGACACACACAGACACACCTGCACCCACACATACGCACAAACACACACTCTCACTCACTCCCCCAAGCCCTCCAATCTACTGGGCGGGCCTGAGGGTAAGCGGGAGCTGTGGGGTGCACTCCCAGCCTCTCCTCCAGCAGCGCCTGGCGGTCCTGCCCTGAGGGGCACACACAGACACCGGGAAGCAGAGGAGGGAAGAAGCCCTTACCCCCCGCTCCACCTTTGGAGGCCTCTCTAGCAATGTCCACAGTGGCCAACAAGGGAGCGTCCCTGGGGGCCTGCTCTGGGAATTCAGCTCCAGAGCAGTGGCTTCACAGCTCAGCCATGGGGGCTCTCAGAGGCCACCCCTCTCTCCCCTCCAGCCTAGGGGCGCAGTGGTGCCTCCCCTCCCTCCAGCCTGGGGCGCAGTGGTGCCTCCCCTCCCTGCAGCCTGGGGCGCAGTGGTGCCTCCCCTCCCTGCAGCCTGGGGCGCAGTGGTGCCTCCCCTCCCTGCAGCCTGGAGGTGGCAGTGGCATCTGCAGCCTCTGCTCCTGGGTAAACCTGCCTTCCTGGTCCTGCAGGCCTTCCAGTGCCACTGTGAGCAATTCCCTCGGTTACAGGCCCTCATGAGATTTCTGGAGAGTTCTTGATTCCTCATTGGACACCGCCTGTTGCCTGGCATCAGACCACCCTCTGAGGGTCACAGGGACGCCTGCAGGCAGAGGAAGGCACAGGCCGTCCCAGGGGAGGGAGCCCCTTAGCACGGGCCCGAAAGCAGGAGGTGTGGGGGCGCTCAGCCAACAGCCGTTCCGGCCCCGGGGGCTGGGCCTCAGGCAGCGTGAAGGCCAGTGTCCCTGCCAGACACTGGAGAATGGGACACTGGAGGATGGGCAGACCTGTGACCTCCTCTCTCAGGGCTGGGGGCTCAGGGAAGATTTTAAGCAGGGTGGTGACAGCTTCGCTCACGGGTGGTCCCATCTGCTCTGTTCGCGGGGAGGTGAGTGGGACGGTGGAGTGGTGCCCTGTGGAGGCAGTCTGGCGGCCTCCTCTCTCCAGAGTGGCCAGGCAATTCCCCAACAGTGATACTAGGACACCCAGGACCACGGCTTCCGACTGCGGGGCCAGCGGACCTGGGTTCAAACCCCTGCTCTCTTTGCAGCGAGCCTCAGTTTTCCTCAGCTGTAGAATGGGGTGACCATCCGCCAGAAGGTCAGGGGATCAGCGGGATCACGGCATCAGAGGTCAGGTGAGCGACGGACACATGGCACGTGCACAGCGCACACTCCCTTCCCGTCCTAGAACATGGGGCCGTCTCCGCTCCTCCCTCTCATTGTTGTGTCCGTTGGCTGTGTGCTCCTTTGCACCCCATACATTCCACTCCCGACTCTCAGGGGACGAGCACACAGGGACATGAGAGGCGGGGGTGGGCAGTTCTATAAATCCTATGATCCATGTCCCAGTTCATCTTTCATTCGTGTTACTTTGTGGGTTTTTTGCCAGCTCCCCCTCTCAGTGGGTGGGTTTATGGGGCCACTCTGCACTCCGTCCCTGAGAGCAGGGCAGGCCACGGGGGTTTGAGGGATCCTTGGCACCCATGAAGCATTCCACGCACTGGCCTGCTGGATCCTGTCACACAGGCTGGGCCGTCCTCGGGGATTTAGAGCTGAGACACCATACAGGTGTTGTGGTGATGTCAAAAATACTGAAAAGCCTGCTGAGCCCTACCGGAGCAGGAGGCTCACACAACACACCCACTAGGGACTCTTTCGTGCCCGTTCAGACAGGCAGGGAGCGTGCTGAAAGGGGAGATCTGAAGTCCCCAGGGCCGAGCGTCATGCTGGCTGTCATCCTAGACGGAGAGCTGCCTCAGAGACGGCGAAGACCGGGCTGCAGATGCGCAGGGTGATGCGCCCTCGTGGGCTGGCGCCCCTGTTCAGTCCGCCCCCTCCCACGTGATAACTCTGCTGGGTCACAGCCTCCTTTCCCCTTGCCAACAACAAACAGCACCCCAGTGCTCAGCCTTGGAAACTACAGACCCCCGACTGCCTTGGAGGGAAATTTCAGTCAGACGTCTCCTCCCTCCTCCTGCAGCTGCGGAGAAGCAGACACAATAACCCCTGCACAGTGAGCCCTCCTCCAACACATGTTCTCCTGACCGTGGCGTCTTGTGAGAAGATGCCCCACTTCAGGATGGCTGTTCCCACCCGTAAAACTCACCGGAAGCCTCTAGAAAGAAAGTCATTCTGAATGGTTGTCTGACTTGATACTTTGTGACTCTGGTGATGATAGTGAAATCAGTGTCCCATTTTCTTAAACTCGGGAGTTTTCTTTGCTAAGCCACTCTCCTTGCTCTCACCTGCGTGGAGAAAACAGCCACGACTGCTGGGCTTTCTTGTTCTAAGAGGTGGAGAGTCTGCATCTTATTCAGTCCGTCTGCCACCCAGCGCCAGGCCCTGCCCCAGCTGAACCCCTCCAGGGCTCCCCAAACCGTATCCACTTAGAATGGGTGCCCCTTCTCCAGCTCCCTCATGCCCCAGGCTCCAGCTACGTTCCACTATTTGCTGTTTTCTAAAACCACTTTTTTTCTCTCTCTTGCCTCTGGGCCTTTGCACATGCTGTTCCCTCTGCTGGAACAGCCCTCCTCCTCTCCCCCGCCACCCGGCCAACTCCTGTCTTTCAGGGCAGCCTCACTACCCGAGTCTACATCTCTGCAGGTGAGTCCAGTCTCCCAGCCTGACACTCAAGGTGTCGAGTGGTTGCCCCGGGTCCCCTCCCCACCGACCCTCCCTATGGTGGAGTGTAA